TGTTTATTATAATATAATGATGAACCCAAGTTTTAAAAATATTTTATTGTTTTGTTTATTGTTATTTCTATACTAGCTTTATTTTAATTTGGATTCACCTGGCATATCATTTTCATTCTTTTGGGGTGGTTTTATTTTGTATGCCTTTTGTAAACATATATAGGTGGTTTTACTTGTTTCAGCTACTTTGAGGTATCTTTTTGTTTAGAGAATGAACAAATAAACCAGTCTTTCCAAATTCTAGTCTTTTTCATTTTCCCAATGATGCAGCCACAGTGCCTCTTTATAAAGTTTCTTTTAAAGTGCCAAATGCTAACTCCGTTCCTTTGCACAGGTGATTGTCTCTTCTTGGAACGGTCTTTACCGTGGCCCTCTGTTTTAACAAAGCAAGCCTCAGTTTAAGTGCTCCCACTTTTCTTAAGAGAAGCTCTTCTCTGACCCATCCCTTTCTAAAATAGCATACCCCTTATTTTCCTAGTACCTGATTTCTTTTATAGCACAAAAGTTATTTTTCATATTTATTGGTATGACTATAAATACTGTTATTATACTGACCAATTTCCTTACATGTTGATTATTTGATATTAGTGAACAGGTGGAGTAAAATAAGGCGGTACCCCTAGAAGAGTCACGTGGTCAAGAGAAGGTCTCTGATGGCTGAGGAGCCTGAGCAAGTAAACAGGAAGAAATAGACTGTTCGTGAATGGGAAAGAATTTGAGTATGGGGGTACCTTTACCTAGAAAAGGAAATATATAGTCCTCCAGGACTGTGGGGGAGGGTGAGAGAATGTGACTGCAGAGGTACTTACGGCATAAAAGAAGTTAAAGAATTGCCTGAATCAGACGTGATTTTACCGAATAAAGAGTGGAGAATAAATGGAGTTGAGAAGGTGGTGGAATACTTGTCAAGAGGTGGTGCCCTAAGAGAACAGGGTGAGGCTCCAAGTTTAGTTTGACTGAAGTGCTGGTTCTCTGTGTTCACTTGTTAGTACCTTGTGGTCCACAGCATTAGGGGGTTAGTATAAATGATGCAGGGATGGTTGTAAGTTGCATAGTGTGTGATCACACTGATGAGTGAATATATTCTATGGGGGTGAGTGTAGCATTGATTGAAGGTAGAATGTCATGAATGTACTGTGAACACCATGTTAAGAAGTAGGGAATGCACTCATCCACCTGTGCTCTGAACTAGTGTGACTTTGGGCACAGTCTTCTCCCTGAATTAGAAAGGCGTTGAGCTTGATCATCTCTAAAGCCCTTTTCAATTTTCACGTGATGAGAGTGTATGAAAAAGATGAAATTGAGTGAGTAATGGTTTAGGTGCGAAGAAGCAAGTACGGGTTTGGAGCTTGTAATAAGTTTTATCTCCTAACTCTTAATAATAACACTAACATAATGTATCTGTAATTGTTTTGTAGAGTCCCTTGTTTTCAGTGTTCATTCACATTATCTGATCTCCTTTTACCTATATAAAGGTTGGTAGGGATATAAATTAATATCCCCATTTACAGATAACCTAGTTAGAACAAAGAACATTAAATTTCAAGTCACATTCCATTTGTGCCTCATTGGCAAGCCAGACTTTTTAGTCCTATTTCTTTATCTGTAAAATGAGGAGGGTTTTGTATCAGACTACCTGAATTTTACTTTTAGGCAGGTGTCTAGATCAGAGAAATATAGCCACTTGTTATGTATCTGCATTTTATCAAGGGATTTGACATAATCTTTCAGATTTTCCTTTGTAGACAGGAAATAGTGAATGGATGGCAGCACCCTAGTGAATTTGTAATTTGGGAGCTATCTGATAAGATGACACAGGATTCTATTCTCAGTGCAGTCTTTTTCACCATTTCTAGCCATGACATATATAAAGATATTGATGGCTTGCTGATCAAATAGCCAGTACGTTGGATAACAGAATCAGAATCAAAGATGATCTCAGCAGGCTTCAACTAAGAGCCAAGTATGACAAGATGAAACACCATGGATTCTTCTAGTGCACGCCTGTAGTTGGGCCAACAAGCACACTGCACAAGGATTGGAGTCAGGGGCTTCCTTCAGACCTTGCCTCCATTACTCTCTGTGTGACATATGGCCACACATTCAAAAGCAAAAAGGATATGAATTGTGAATTCTCTTTCTCCCCCAGTCATGCCGTGTCATTCCCTAAAGGTAAATAGGATTATTAGGTTTTTAAAATGTATCCTTGCAGAGAAATTTTATGCCAGTGTAAGCAAATTGTGTGTGCATATATTTCTCCCCCTTCCCATTTTATACAAGTGGGAGTATAGTATTCACACTGGTTTTGTACCTTGTTTTTTTTCCTCAAATTTATGACTTTATGTTGGAGGTTTCTGCATGTCAGTGTGATCATTTTCTTTTAAGTGGTTGCACCGTATTACTTTATAGGGATGAATCATAAAACATAGTTTAGTTAACGAGTTCTTTACTGATGGACATTTTTGCTGTTTTCGGTATTTAACTATTACAAACAATGCTGTAGTCAATGACTGTATAATAGTTTTATCTATGGGATAAAGTCTTAGCAGTGGTGTTGCTAGGTCAAAGGGGAATTCTACTTTCCAAAGTCATTGTCACATAATCTTAGAAAAAAACAGAATTGTATAGCTGGAAAGGAATATAAATATCATCAAGTTTAGTGGTTCCCAAAGTATGGTCCTTGGGCTGGGAGTAACAGCAGCAGTAACAAATGCAGGTTCTTGGGGCCCATGCTGGACCTCCTGAATCAGAAATGAGGGCCCAGCAATTTGTACTCATCGTTTATTTTACATATGAGGAAATTATGATCAGAAAGGTGAAGTAACTTAGCACTTGTCTCAGGGTGTGACCCCTGACTTCTTTTTGAAACTTTTCCCATCATGTCACATCTTTCCCCCTTTTGGAATTTCCAAACTACATGCTGTTCTTAACAACATCTGCCCTAGCCTCATGCCCTCTCTCTTACTTTTTCCTTTCTCTCTGCTGCTGAAATCCTATTTTCATTTGTTCCTGTTTTCCTGAAGCACTTGGATCTTGCAATTTGAAAAAATCAGTACATCTTAGCCTTCCTATGGTATTTTCTTTTTATTTCTATTTCTGTATTAGTGTCTGGCTTTATTTTATTGATACGCATTCATATCAGTCTTTTGTTAGCTTATACATATGCTCCTTGAGGGCAAGGATGATGTTTTATTTATCACTTTAGGCCCCTTGCACCTTCCTTGCATTTACTAATTGATAGATAAATGTTGGTTGCATTTCTTCTCTTGCACAGTTGGGAATCAGTGGAATAGATACTCTGTGTTACACTCAATACCTGTAACTCTAACCAGTTTTCTTATAAATATGCTATTGACTATACAGGACAATAAGCATGATAGGGATAAGTCAGCTCAAACTCCTCCACTGAAGTTCATAGATGGAAAATTAACCAGTATGTAATCAGTAAATCTATATTTTGGTTCTCTTATGTGCCAGACATAATGTTGTGTGTTGAGGTTGATATGTTTCTAATGAATAAAGGACCATGCATTTTTTTAGTTGATACTGTCTTATACCTGTATACATTTAAATTGTAGGTGTCATTTCCACCTTGTGAACTTAAAACTTAGAAGTATGGTGTCAAGGGGATGTTTAAATTTTTCAAAATTCTTAAAAAATTTAAGTTACTATCTTGTTTACTCTGTTGTGCTAAATATCAAGATAGGTGTTTCTATCATTGAAACCTCATATTCTAGTAAAACACACCATTTTCTCAGATTATCTCAACATATTTGTCAAGGAAGAATATAGATGCTTCCCTGTGTGATAGAGTGAAAGTTTCATCATTTTTAGTTCACTTTTTCCTTAAAGCATTATAATTTTATATCTAAGCAGAATTTAATGTTTTTAGTAGTACTCGAAATGCAATTTATAATATTTTAGAGAAATTTTGAGAAGAAGCATGTCTTTTTTTTTTTTTTAAAGATTTTATTTATTTATTTGAGAGAGAGAATGAGAGTTAGAGAGCACGAGAGGGAAGAGGGTCAGAGGGAGAAGCAGACTCCCTGCTGAGCAGGGAGCCCGATGTGGGACTCGATCCCAGGACTCCAGGATCATGACCTGAGCCGAAGGCAGTCGCTTAACCAACTGAGCCACCCAGGCACCCAAGAAGCATGTCTTAGAGATGATTTTTTTAAATGGTAGTTGCCTGGCCTACAGTGATTTTGGTTCATCAGGCAAGTATTCTTATGAGCTGTCTTGAGAAATGGAGATATTATCACTGGCGTAGGGCCAAAGTTAACAACTTTGAAAGAATGTGCTTCTGTAGTAATTTTGAAATTATTTTTCTCCAAGACACATCATTTTTACCAATTTTAGTTAACTGTGTGGAAAATGGAGAAGTGGAATGCTTTAATAAAATTTTGTGATCAGAAGTAAATTGTAAAAATTTAATATTACCAGCCCCTTTAGAGACTTGTATTACCTTAGCAGTTGTATATTGGGAACTTATATACAACTGTGTCCTTAATTGCTATTTTTAGATGAACAATTTTAACCATGTTTAGTGTTGTAAGCTTGTAAATTTGATGTTACTGTTACGTCATACCAAACATAAGCAAAACTATTTAATCTTTGTCCCAAAATCCATTAAAAATCATTTCAGATACTAGTGCATGAGAAGGTAGAAAAATGTTATGATTCTTTTTCTGTCCTAGGAGTGTTTATAGTTAGCATAGGAGACTTTATGCAAGTGAAACTGGAGGCAATCTGCACAATAGCTTTCTAAATTTCACAGTGCGGCATAACTATCTAGTATCTTTAATTTAGTTTGTCAGCAAGTTATTGTTATATTATTTGATCAAATCAGTTGGGAGTTTATGCTATTAATATCATCAGAGGCAAGCTTCGCTGGGTGATTGATAAAGTAAAGCTGTATCCCATATATAATTCCTGTGCCTAAGCACTCATTTCCTACCAAAATGTAGAGTTGAATTTCTCATTGTTTCTTTTTTAGTGAGCATTTGTCCTGTGCATTCACATTCTTTCTTCATGGGGAAAGTAATGTATGCACAAGTGTGGAGATTGCCCAACACCAGCCAATTTATTTGATCAATGAGGAGCATATACACATGGCTCAGTCTTCACCTGCACCATTTCAAGGTAAGTAAATGGCAGTGTCCTGCCGTCTACCTCTCCCCCGCCAAGTGGATAGCCACCTTGCCCAGTAAGGTTTGCAGAATGAGATATTATCTTAAATGGACATTTTAAAGCTAAGCATAATGGTCAGTTTCTGAAGAAGAAAGGAAAGACTACCATTTCATAATGAAAGCTTGCTAGTATTTTGCCTAAAAGCTTCAAGCTTATTACATTTACAACATGGTCTTAGGTGAAGTTGTACTAAGGAATAAAATGTAGAGAATTGCCTTCAGAACAAAAGAAGATCAGTAAGTATTTGAAAAATACAGTCCTATGAGTAATTGACATCTCTTAAAAATTAAAAGTTTTCATTGTTTTGTTTGTTCCATGGTTTCAAGCAGATAATGACTAACAGAAAATTACTGTTTTTGAAATTTCAACCAGAATCCTATTTCTAGAGTTGTATAGTTTCTTTGGTGATGTTAATATCTTTATTATTTCTTTTAATTAGAGACTACATTGTAGGTATTTGGTTGTAGTTTCACTTAATGTGTATATTTTCATTAATTCTCAGCTAATCACCTAGATTTTACCAAAATAACTCCATGTCCCCTTTTTCTAATCATGAATTCTAAATCTTCGGTTTTGTTTTTGGAATTCAGAGTTTCTATGATTAACTTTTTAAATGTTATAATGTTTAAATGTAAAAATATTAGATTGAACCATCTGGAAAAATCTCTTATGGTTCAATCTAATTTATTACTAGAGATGCCTGGTTGAAATGGTCCTAGTACATCACAATGTAATTTAAAAAAAACACTGATATTTTAACAGATTTGACTAAAATATTTTTATTGACATAACAGCCTGTCATAAGTGTTTAGCCTGCGTATTACTTACGATTGCTTTTTGGTTTCCTACAAATGATTTTTAATTTGATGAAAACATCTGTTCCTTGCCCTAAAAGATATTGAGCCTTTTTTTTTTTTTAAGGTAAAAAAGAACGTTGAATCCTCATTTAACTCTCTCCTAATTGTTACCTTTTTTTTTAAACCCCCTCTCTTTGTAATACATTTTAAACTATGTACTTTATCATTCTGTAATTTTTGGTATTTGCTTTGTGAACTATAAAATTCAAAACCCAGTTCCCAAACTCTACACTTAAAGAGTTGTACAGTATTTGCATACTATGGATTACCAGAATTATTTAATACTGTGTTTTGTTAACTATGAAGGTTCTGAGGACCATCTAACTTCATTCTAGACTTTATCACTGAAAATAAAAGCATTTATTTATGATAAGAGCAGAAGGAATTCCTAGTCACGAGGGGAGGTGACTAACCTAAGTTGGGAAAGATAATACTAGCAATATCAGGTCTCCATAAACCACTTATTTTAGGTCTTACTGGTTTGTTGCTAATGCCTCGAATTATAGAAGACTCTTATGGGATGTTATCCTGCTTATTTCCTATGATTGGTGTGGCAGAGGGACATTCTTAGGGCAGGTGTTGGCCTATAAATAATTATAGTGAACATAATTAACCATATTGATGTGGGAATTTCCTAGAAGTATTAATACAGAAAAATTGCCCTTGATTAAATATGTTGGTTGGAATCACTATTTTTATTCTCTTTGGATCAGTAAGGAACAGCAGAAAGGTACCAAGAAATATGTGATGTCTACAGCTATCACTGGCTTGAATGATCTAATATATCATCCAGCTGTTAAAAATAAAGCCATCCGAAGAAAGAACATCTCATTTAATGTTTATGCTGAAATTTATTTAGAAATTAGGATTAAGAAAAAGTTTATTTCCAGAAAAGTATTGTTTGGAAGGTTAACCTTACCCCAAGGCTACAAAGTGGCTGGGTTATATGCAGCATCATGTTAACTACATTTTTGTGGCTAGCTCAGTGAAAATAACATCAGATCAAACACTGAAAGAGAAAGATAGAGGGACTTTGAGTCCTTTACTTTGAGTATAATAAAGTTTTATTTAGAGTTGTTTCATTAACCTTTAAAACAGTTGTAACTGAAATTATAACTAAGCGTTATGTTTCAGACTTGGTACATCAAGACCTTTGCTATTACAAGTTTTATTTTTATGTTATTTTTAAATGACAACAGATATTTAGGAAGTTTCAGAAATCCTGTTCAAGTGTTCAAGTCCTAGGCAGGTTTTGGGGTATATGTATTAAATGGTTTTCTTTTGTTATAAAAGACTCAGTGTTTGCATTGTATAAACTTTTATCAAACAGGTGTATAGATGCTTTTGTAAATAGTTTATATATTGTGTGTTACTACAGCTGTCTGATAATTTTTTTTTTACCTCCCCCTTTTGATTTCCCTAAAAAATTGACATATGTTGAGAGGCATATAGGTAAGAGGCACTAAAATGAAGAACTTTAAAAAATAAGACTTTAAAAGGACTCAAGAAATAAAGGGCGGTATCTAGTAAGTGAGGCTGGGCTTTAGCCTAAATGACCATGTATGTAGCATTACACTTAAGTAGGAGTTACTACTCTGATCTGTAACACATGTTTCTCCTCCCTGCCTTAGTACTGGTAAGTCCTTATGGCTTAAATGGCACGCTAACAGGCCAAGCATACAAGATGTCAGACCCAGCCACCCGTAAGTTGATCGAGGAATGGCAGTATTTCTACCCAATGGTGCTGAAAAAGAAAGAAGAATTGAAAGAAGAGGAGGAGTTGGGATATAATGATGATTTCCCTGTGGCAGTCGAAGTAATTGTTGGTAAGAGAAAATATTTTGCCTGAAGAACTTTATTCTATCTTCTTCATCTTTCTTAATTTAAAAAGATAATCATTGAGATTCATCAAAAATAATCTCCATAATTTTCCCATCTTTTTTTTAATTCTCTTGGTACAGTGGTATATGCTGAGTAGTTATCTTGCCTGAAGCGCCAGTGGTCCCTGTATTCCAAATGCTATTATCATAATGTTGGAGCACATGTTTAAACAGCTATTAACTTAGGAAGGAATGGAGCACATCACTTTTGGCAGTACCTAATGAGCACCTCATTTTCATCATTGAGCTTTGACCACTAGAATAATAAAGTTGGCAGCCTGGTGTGAACTTTTTCTCAGGCCTGGTTCACTCCTTGCTCTTTTTCCTTACAGGTGGTGTTCGGATGGTTTATCCTTCGGCATTTGTTTTGATCTCTCAGAATGACATCCCAGTTCCTCAGAGTGTTGCCGGTGCTGGAGGCCATATTACAGTGGGGCAGCAGGGACTTGGTAGTGTGAAGGACCCAAGTAACTGTGGGATGCCTCTTACGCCTCCCACCTCTCCAGAACAGGCTGTCATAGGTGAGTACAATCCAGAAATGTACTCCTCCAGGTAGAGGAGATCACAGGAAACCATGTAACTCCCTTGCCATGGAACAGATGAGTAAACTCACATTGAGAAATGCCTTATGCAAGAGGTGGAGGTAGAGTGACATGGAATTTTACAAAATAGAGAAGGAAAATTTTCAACAAACAGAATTGATGTGCTTCAGAATTTTAATTGTGCCCTGTTACTCTGTTTATCCCAGTTAGGCAGTGTAGTTGTTTCTCTTAAGTTCTGTACATACATCTGTCCCTTTACACACATGTACATACATGCACACAGACACACACAATCAGGGGACAAGGTGTAGGCTGCTCTTTTTTTTCCCCTTAAACAAATGGAAAACATTAGATCAGAAAATGGCTGAAGCATTTGCCCAGTTGACTATTGCCAGCCAGGGACAAGTCTGGGATAATTCTTTTCTTGTTACATTATAAAGGTACTCTAGCATTCAGAAGCTCTCAGTAAAATGCTTTGTTCTGTCAGTAATCTGTCTACATTACTGATAAGTATTAGTTATGTATGAAACTTTAAAAATTTTCCTTCATGAAAAAATTGAGAAATTCTTTAAATTGGGAACATTTTGCCATCTTTAGAGTAGTATATATTCTGTATTAACTTTTTGGTTGTTGTAGTTGACTTTGTTTTAATTGGACATCTAGTCACTAAGGAAAGGATATTCATCGGACTTGAGCTGAAGTGAGATTATTTATAGGCTTTTTAATGTGGGCCATGTTAGCAAAAGCATCGGAGTAGATAAGGTCTTGGCTGCTGAACTGAAAACAGACTATCCATGATACACACTACGTGGCTATTTTCATGAGATTAGATAAGACAGTATTTCAGAGTTTCTAGCATGGTGCTTGGCATGTGGAGGGTATTCAATAAATGTTCATGGTTAAGCAATATATTGGGGGCAAGTATAGACATTGTGATTGAGTGCACCTAATTTAAAAATCTGGCTATATAGCTTTTGTTAGGTGAGTTGGCCTTATGAAATTCTCAAACTTGGCCTGAGCCTCTGTTTCCTTCTCTGTTAAATACTATGTACTTGACAGAGCTGTTACGCATACTAGGTAAAGTACTTGACAGTGCTCTGTAGACAGCAAAGCAGTATATAAATGGTGCCATAAGCAATTTGAAGCGGTACTCAAAACACGATTATGTTATCTAGGAGGAGCTACTCAGATATGCTGTGGAAGGCATAGAAATGGGCAACTGGCAGCCCCTGTCTTTAGGAGCCATGTAGTTGCTAAGACAGTAAAAAAAAGGGACATCCAACCCTAATATGGTGGAGCAGAGAATTTGGAAGATGCCCTGTGAAAGGATTTGCTCAGTTTTTATTAAAAAAGAAAACAAACAAAAAAGGAAAAAGAAATACTTTTACAGGCTTTCTAATAATCATAGAGAAGATTTATTGATACAGACTAGAATTATCGGTATTTTGACAAATTTTGATGACATTTCGTATTGAAGTTTGGATTTTAAATAATTGCAGTACGGGGCGCCTGGGTGGCTCAGTTGGTTAAGCGACTGCCTTCGGCTCGGGTCATGATCCTGGAGTCCTGGGATCGAGTCCCACATCGGACTCCCTGCTCCTTGGGAGCCTGCTTCTCCCTCTGACCCTCTTCCCTCTCATGCTCTCTATCTCTCATTCTCTCTCTCTCTCAAATAAATAAATAAAATCTTTAAAAAAAAAAAATAAATAAATAAATAAATAATTGCAGTACATAAGTTGTCATCAGTTTTTGTTTATCTGTTTGTTTTTGTTTTGCCTGGTACTTAGGGATATTTGTATTCAACTTAAAATTGAAAGCCTGCTGTATGCATGATGTCCTGGCGTCTGATCAGTTAGGAACTCTAAATTTCACAATTCAGAAACACCAGGTTTTGTTTACTGTGGTTTTCAGTGTGGACGTCCTAACTCTGGGTATTGAAATTACTTCCTCTCTGACTCTATGTATGTCATTGTGCTAAGCCCTGGGTAAATATATCTCCTGATGCCTCCTCAGTCTCTAAAACCAACTAACTAAATAAAAGCAGCTGGAATCTTTGTTGTAAAATGTATTTGTCTTAATTTTCACATCATGATACAATGAATTATATTATAGCTTAGGACTCTTAATGCTCTATCATAGACAATCCTGGTCAGCCTTGTCATTCTGCAGTTGACTAACATTGAGCATTGCTATGTTTTCCTAGATACAGGACAAAATGGGTTCCCTTTTCTCCTAAAATGGCCAAGAATCTCCTAGATTAGCAGAGGACCTAGGAGGGCCAGCTGGTTTTGGTGAAATCATTCATGCCTCATGTGGATAGGTACCGCCGCTTGCGGTCTTTGGGGATAATTTTGAGAAACAGTATTCAATATGTGTTTGACAGCATAGAGTATAGGTCTGGTGTAATTCCCTATGAGGTATCATCCACATTTTAGTTAAATCATTAAAAGCTACTGAAAAACATTAACCCAACTTTAATCCGAAAAGACCATGCCTTACTTTCCCCACCCCTCTCATTTTTTGGTCATAAATTAATCCCGTATGATACCATGGACATATGATCTCTTTAGCTAAATTGTAAGGTGTTTGGGAGCAAAGGGCTATATGTTCTACTTCTGTTTGTTTCACTACTTATCCTATAATAAGGATGAAAATCCATTTGAAAATCCATTGTAAAATTGAAATGAATTATTTTGTACCACAAACCAAGTCAGGGAACTTTTAAGATGAAAGCAATGAAAGACCAAATTTTTTGTCTCCTTTAATTTATCTAATTTGTAATATAATAATACTTTTATAGGGAACAGGCAATCCTCAGTTCCTTAGAATGTAAGCATTTTGATACTGGTTTTTGTTTTTTTGTTTTTTTTATTTTTATTTTTTCTTAAATAGAGCTAAGCCTAAGCCTTCAGCTCATATAGTGGTTGTGTTCCAGCGTATTAGGACTATTTGTGATATAAGGTTGTTTGTTTATTTTTCCGATGAGGGTGGAGATTTCCAGAGTGCTTAAAATTGATTATTTTGGTCAAGATGTTTTGTATCATAGTTCTATTTAGAATAAAACCCACAATATATTTATGAAGTCAAATAGATGAAACTAACTGAATCAGAATTTAATACTGGAAATTGACTTCAGTATTGTCTTGTATGAGATAGAAATAGTAAAATATTCATAATATAATCAAAAACCAGTATTACCAGTAATCATAGTGGACCTAATAGAAAGAAATGGGATTACATACCAACCATAGTTGGAAAAGCTAAGTGGAGTTATTAGAAACTAGTGAATAATCCTCTGATACAGAATGTCGAGATAACCTCTTTCAATGTTTTAGCACTAAGGTTTTATAAATAGTGTCAGGCATAAGGACAAACAGTTCCACACACAAATTTGAAATTTGACCTTGTTAAAAGCTTTGTGCCATTAAGTTCTTTCTCCGACCCAGGGAGCTATGTGCAGTTGTTACACAGCTTTTAAGCTAAATGAGCAGAAAGCTCCCTCTGCTGTTTTGTTCTGCCTTGAAACTTATTTATTGCATTGTGGATTTAAAAATTTAAAACAGTCTATTCATGTTTACATCTTTAATACTGTGATATATGGGCCTTTACAAGTAAGTTGTCTCCAATATCTGTAGAGTCGAATACCTCTGTATGGGTATGCTCTTGGGTTGTGTGAGTGTGTGAGTGTGTGAATATTGATGTGATGAACTATTTTAGGGAGAACACAAAGAACCGTACAAAGTGCCAGTACACACACATTATGCTCAGAGCTACAGATAGTGTTTTTGCCAGAGGGTAGGGGCAAAGCTACAGGAAGAATATGTTTCAAAACCCAAAACATTTCTGTTAAATAAGCTTGCAGTCTGTGTGTACTAGGAGACCTTTTCATCATTTTTACATTTCCAAATTGTCTTTTCCAGGGGAGAGTGGAGGTACACAGAGTGCGGTCAGTCACCTAGGCTCCCAAGACGGGGGGATGATAACTATGCACAGTCCAAAGAGATCGGGGAAGATTCCTCCAAAACTCCACAATCATATGGTCCATCGAGTCTGGAAGGAATGCATCCTCAACAGAACCCAGTCCAAGTATGGCTTTTGCATTACGTCTGGATCATGGTTTAGTAACACCATCTCTTTGGTTACTATGTGAAGAGTGTCAGTCACATTGTACCATTATGTGACCAAACCTGAGGGGTCATTGCATTAGTCGATCATCTTTTTTTTAAACATAATAGTGTCAAATTCAACGCAAGGATGTTAAAGATGTTTACTTGACTTGATTATCTAGGAAATTTTGACATTCCTGATTATCTCAAGATTGGCACATCTTGAGATTGACATTTTTCAGGACAGATAGCTTAGTATAGTAGTCAGTGGGTTTGGTTTTCCTTCGTATATCAATTTCTGAATGTTTTCTGTTTACAACGGGAAATGACCTTTGTCACATTTTCTGTGACATTGGCCGTCTGTTTTAAATGACAATACAGTTCTGAACTGAACTGATGACAGAGGGATGTTTACCACCTGCTGTGCTTCTGTTGGTTGATTTGGGGAAGCCATGTTCTTTTCTTCCCCTACCTGACTTTGCTTCCCTCCGTTCTCCCCTACCTCTCCTATTGCTCTCCTCCCTGCCTTCCTTAACATGTTTTTGGAAAAGAGGAAGAAGTGATTCTAAGATGAGACTGCTGGTAGTGATTATTTTAATTACATGAATGATAACAAATAGTAGTCAATAAATACTCTCCCACTTACCAAGATTTACGTAAACATAGCATATTTTCACCTATCTTGATATAACTGAGATGTCCCCTTTTTGGAGTGAGGCAGTAAACAAAGGAGTTTTCATTCTCTAGAACAGAATAAATTTGGACACTCTTGCCAAAAACTGCTAAAAAGTCCACTCCTTTTACAAATCAGATAAATGTTTCTTCAGTCACTACTACTTAAGAGTTTTACTTGCAGATATAAAACCTGTCATGTGGATCTAGCTTTTAGGAAATTCATACTATGTATTTGTTTCTCAGTGAATTGGTTCTAGAGTAGGCTCCTGAAGAAGATATAGTACATAAAATCTAAAATAATTGCAGTGGGAGATTATATGTCATGTTCTAGAATTAAAAAGATACCTTAAAAATGATCCTTTGCTCTAGAATAATTGGTACAGATGTTTTCACCTCTGTCTACAAGCCTGGATAATTTCCAAGTTAACATTTTCTTTTTCTTTTCCTCTCATTTATTGTCTTTGATTTTTATCACCACTAACCTGTCACCTCCACCAGCTCTAACAGCCCCTTGAATCAGCAGCACAGAACAGGGCAGTGAGACACCCAGAAGGGCGAAGGAGGGTGGAGAGCCAGAGAAGTGCCTCTAGAGCAGTCCCTGGAGCACTTTGTAGCATCAGCTGTAGCAGAATCAGCAATACAGAAATACTGCCCCGTGTTCTTATTGTCACTGTGTAATAATAGACATCTGCTTTGTGCTACCAATTACTAGTGACAAGTATGAGGTAATTTTTTCCTTGTCTTTAATTCACATTACAAGCGTAGAGTGCTGCTTAAATGCTAATGAATATAGGAGTTTTAAGAGTTTAAGAGTTGTAAACAGTCTCAGGGCGTATAATTCACAGATGCTGCGAAAAGATAATTTTAAAAATTTAAGTTATTTTTTAAAGCAACAACCAATAGTGCCAGATAGTGTTTTAATTGCTCTGTCACCCATGTTAAAAAGTACATTCAACTTAAATAGAAATATTTTGAATCTTGCTTCTTCTAGTGCATAGAACAAGTTGGTTCTCCCCGCCCCCACCCCAACCCCTTGGATTGCTCTGAGCTATCTATTAGCTAGATAACCTTACTCTGTGAAATGTATTCAGGTCTTTTAACCCCTCGGCCCCCCACCCCGCCCCCATCCCGGTATGAATATTATCTCATGTTTACAGAAGTCACATTTTTAACCTTTTTTAGGAGGAGCCAAATGTCAACTCCAACTCCTGAAGAAGAGCCTGCTAATAATCCTGCTACTTGGGATTTTGTGGACCCAACCCAAAGAGTCAGCTGTTCCTGTTCTAGGTAGGTGGTAGAAACGGCAGAGCCGGAGTTGGAGAATGGTAGCACCTTTTGTTGGCTATCTCCTGGACTCTCAGACCGCTTCTTCCTCATTGTTTTATTTTGTTTTGTTTTCAGTCTTCCTCCTCCAGTAGAGCAGGAACAGATAGGTCTTTTCTTATATACAGGTGATAACAGTTTTATTGTCAGGACTCAAAAAGAGCTTTATTAGACAACTGGCCCTGTTATCAAATTGCTCCCACAAATTTCTTCATGGTAGCTACTTCAAAACTTAAGGCATCAGTTTGATAAGACCATCTATTCCCCTTTATATGACTTTATTTATTCTTAATTTTAAAGTAGGATAAATATTAAACAAGTTGGCTAGAGCTAATAGAATTTGGATTAAATAGGTCTTCCATAGATAATTTGTTGTCGGTGCTGGTGTGTTTTGATGCTTCAGGTGGGTATTTGGTAACAACACCTGCCAAAAGCTAAAATTGTTGTTCATTCATTTAGATATTTGAATAGAACCCTAAACTGATTTCTGTAGAAAATTTTTGCTCTCCTGGATATTACCTTGACTTATCACTCCTTGTGGTTGTAAAGAGTCTTGTCATGGGCTTTCATTAGGTTCTTAGATTTCTTTCCCTTTTTTTTTTTTTAAAGATTTTATTTATTTATTTCACACACATGCGAGAGAGTGAAGAGTGGGCCCCAGCAGGGGAAGGGGCAGAAGGAGAGGGGGAGAGAGAATCTCAAGCAGACCCCATGCTCAGCACGGAGCCAGAACCGGGGGTTTGATTTCATGAAGTTGTTGAGATCATGACCTTAGCTGAAATCAAGAGTCAGACGTTTAACCAACTGAGCCAGCCAGGTGCCCCAGGGTTCTTAGATTTCTTAAGTGTATGTAGGCTTTACTCCTAGCTCAGTTGACTATTGAGGATGTGATGGTGATTATTCACTTAATGAGCAACTTAGAGTAGCTTTGCTTCCAGAGTCTGTATTTTCACATTTGATACTGCTCAACACTTAGAAAAAGTTCTGTTGAGATAAAATATATTAAGAAAATGGCCATTCATTTCCCTAATTCAGATAGGGATTCTTAATGTGACATAAATAATTTGGCTTCGGGGTAGGGAGGTAGTCAAATGACCCCTGAGAATATATGCAAACTGTGTGTGTGTGTGTACGTGTGTGTGTGTGTGTGTGTGTACGTGTGTGTGTGTGTGTGTGTACACTTAAGCAGCAGTTTTGACACCATCTTCTCGTATTCCCCTGCCCCTTACATTGATTCTCTTATATCCTCTGCCTTTTTAGTCAGCTTTTTTTTTTGAGAGATGTTGTAAGTATCAGCCTAATGAAATGTGCGCTATTGATTTTTTAAGGAGGATGTTTTTGAAGAAGTTGTTCATTAAGGGTCCTCTCTGAGCATGTGAGAATCTCTAGTCTCAGGATAGGTGTCGTATACCAGCTGAATACCTGTTTTACTTCTGTTTCTAGGCCATTGTAAATTGTGTAACAAAAAGCCTTTTCTTATTAACATTGACTTATAAACAGCTCACAGCCAAGTTATGGGCCACCTTTAGAAACTATCTAGGGTAAAATGTTAGTGTATTTAACTTTGCTTGCGCCCTCATCTTATTTTTGATCCTATTTTCCTTAATCTAGGTTTTCATCTGTTAAAAATAACCTTTTTGCTGATTTCTGTGACATTTTTATTTGCTCCCTTGAATTATTTTTACCTGAAGTGTAAATAAATAGCACTTTTTCTTTTGTCCTCTGGAGTCATTCCTCTGTTTCCTCACCAGATTCATATACCTTCAGGTCTTTTTTTAGTTATGCATTTCACTCCATTGTCTTCCAGATATTTATCTCTAGACATGACCTCTCATATTTACTCTGGTCTTATATTTTGGGGAGGTGCCTTTAAGAAATACCCTTAATATTGACGTGTGTGTTTTCTCACAAGTCAGGTATCCTGTTGCAGTCATTTTTATCACAATTTTCCCTTTTCAGCCTAGAAATTTTATCAATTACTATTTTTCTTCATTTTATAGATGAATTTTATCCTTGCATTTCACATTGAAATCCTTTGAAATGTCTATGATAGTAATTCTACTTGCCTCATTCTTTTAGCCACCATGTGTTTCTACACTATTTGGCCCTGCTTCTGGTTCCTTCCCACCACTGGACCACCCATATAGTTAGGCTTTTGCGCCTTGATTTCCTGCTGCCTGCTTCACTGAGGCCTCTTACCTTCCGCAATTTGCTGTGCTAGTCTGTTACTCACTGATGTATCCCTAATTGTAACCTTTTCACAATGTAGCCGAGTCATTAAATGCAACTGAAAAAAAAATGACTTTGTAAGATTATCTAGTTTGCAAAAAGTCCTTACTTTGAAGAGGCTACCACAAAATATCTATCAAAGGACTGGTGTGGGTAAATGCTCTGAGAAAATCCAAATGAAAAAGTTTTATGTAAAAGATTCTTTGAACTCTTTTAAAATAAGCACCCTTATAAGATATGATTGAGATATTTTCAGATGAGACATTCATCTCTTAGTGTGCTACTGTGCCCTGGAGATTAAAACACAATTTTTACCTTATTGTCAATAGCCTTATGCTTAAACAACCTTCTTCACAGTCAGATTTTTTTTTTTTTAAGAGTAGCAAAGACTTTAGCAAGAGTCTTTTCAGATTATCTACTGCAGGATTACCAAACCCATTATGGAATGGTCCACTCCTCACACTATTTAATGGCCTTATGGGGCAGGGTGGCCATCCTGCTGTCCGACTAAACCATCCCATTATGCCACACAAATCCGTTTTACTGCCCACTAGGGCACCATTGAGTGTGATACAGCAGTAATTTAATGCCACCCTAGTGGCCTCAGAGAGTTACTGCTGCACGGGCAGGAGAGCTCACGTTTTTCCCTGGGTGGATTTATATATTGGGAGGAACTGGCTGACCTGCTGTATAACTTTGTTGCACACAGATTAAACCTTGGCATCATCTAGTGGGCCCTTCCTGAGCAATATCTCACACCCATGCTTGCCAAGAAGTATGTTAGGATGTGAGCAGACTTGCTACCCTGCTTAGTACAGATGCATTTGTTGTTTTCATATTCACTCACCATCTTTTTACTTCTAATTTTGTGAGTCTGGAAGACCCAAAGTTGTCTTTTATCCCTTCCTTTTTTGATAAGAATGGCATATAAGGTTTCTAGTCTGTTTATTCCGTTAAATATTTGTAGGATGGACCCTCGTTTTCTTGTTTTCACACTTTGGGGGAGAATTACATAATTTTATACTCAATTTACAACACTACAAGCTGTTATAAGCCATTCTTTATTGGAGTTAGAGGGTTATAAGATAGAAATTGGAAGCTTTTTTTTCTCTCTTTCTTGGCAAATGATCTCATTACTCTTGGTTTTAAGACGCATTGTGAATACACATTATCTGAGGCCCTTACCAAATTTGAAAGATTTGGGGATTTTTCAAATCAGTCTTTTGGTAGGGGTTAGCACTGTTAAGTCCGTCTCTTATCTGCTTAACTTGTGTGTGATTGATTCACGACTTTCCATCAGAGTGTTGGCAGTTTTTAGTCATTATAAAAATAATTAACACTTAGAGTCCTTTTCAGTGATTTGGGGATCTCGTGTGTGCTTAAAAGATACAACCTTGTCAGAGGCATCTCTTTTATAATGTTACAATGATGCGATAATGTTGTACTGTTATAGTGATGCAGTTATATTTCAGATGTGTGTTTCTTGACCTTACTTTAATTTTCATTTCAGGCATAAACTTTTAAAACGTTGTGCAGTAGGACCCAATCGACCTCCCACAATATCTCAACCAGGGTTCAGTGCAGGACCATCATCATCTTCATCTTTACCACCTCCTGCGTCTAAGCACAAAACAACAGAAAGACCGGAAAAGGGAGACAAATTGCAAAAGAGACCCTTGATACCATTTCACCATAGGCCCTCTGTGGCTGACGAGTTCTGTATGGAGCAGGATACACCAGGACAGAAGCTAGGGTTGGCAGGGATAGACTCCTCCTTAGAGGTGTCTAGCAGTAGGAAGTATGATAAACAAATGGCTGTGCCTTCCAGAAATACAAGCAAGCAAATGAATCTGAATCCTATGGATTCACCTCATTCCCCTATTTCCCCTCTGCCGCCAACACTCAGCCCTCAACCACGAGGTCAGGAAACAGAGAGTTTGGACCCGCCATCTGTCCCTGTGAACCCAGCTCTCTATGGAAATGGGCTAGAACTCCAGCAGTTGTCGACTCTGGATGACAGAACTGTCCTCGTAGGCCAAAGACTGCCTCTGATGGCAGAGGTCAGCGAGACAGCCTTATATTGTGGGGTTAGGCCCTCGAACCCTGAGTCATCAGACAAGTGGTGGCACAGTTATCGCCTCCCCCCCATTGATGATACTGAGTTCCGGCCCCCAGAGCTCCAGGGCGACAGATGTGATGCCAAAATGGAGGTAAACTCAGAGAGCACTGCGTTGCAAAGGTAAGGCGACTCTGCGTACCACCCAGCTGATCACCTACTGACCAAGGCATAGGGTCCTGAGAGGGGCTTTCCTCCTCATCTCCCCATGCTCACCCTTCAGAGCCAAAATGAAAGATGCTTTTCTTCACCATTCTAGACTCCACATTCGGAAAATGCTTAAAAAGTCAAATGCTTTGTCCTTTATGAGGTTTCACATGTGTCATTATTTAAACATGTTGGCAATATAAAGATTTCATTGTGGCATTTAGGATATTGGTATTAATTTATTTTTGGCCTGCTGTTTGTCAAAAAATATAGCTTGATGACACTTTCCATATTGTGGTCAGTGCCTTCTTTGTATGTTGACACTTTTTAAGGAGGGCTTTGCATGCATTTAGGTATGTATCCTGCATCTAGTAATAATACTGTTTTTAGTGCTGTTGAGCTACCCATTATTCTTCACAGTTTACCCAGACCATCTCAGTTAATCTTCACTATCATATTACTACCTTATTTTTATAGCTGAGAAAGAAGCAAGGGTCAAGCAGTTAGTAAATGACACAGATTGAACTTGAACCTAGGTAGTCTGTCCTTAGAGCCCATTTATGCTCTTAGCCGGAATCCATGGAATCAGAGACAAAAGCATATTCTTCACAAAGACCTACTAAGTTTTTATTTGTGAACATAATCTCTAAAAGAACTTCTTTAGAGAGAAAAATTTTCTAAGTTTAAGTTTTGCAAATGCCTTAAATTATAAATGCTACTTTAAAAAAATCAGTCTTTTTACTTTGTTTACCTTGCTTAAATTGTCATTTATTTTCCCTTTTAGACTCTTAGCACAACCTAACAAACGGTTTAAAATCTGGCAAGATAAGCCACCCCAGATGCAGCCACTCCACTTCCTTGACCCATTGCCACTAGCTCAACAACCTGGAGATAGTTTGGGAGAAGTCAATGATCCATATACCTTTGAGGATGGCGACATAAAATACATCTTTACGGCAAACAAGAAATGCAAACAAGGGACAGAGAAAGATTCCCTGAAAAAGAATAAGGTACTATTTAACAAAGAGAGCGTCCAGCATGGTGTGGGTTTTGGTCTCTGTCAGTACAACGTGTGTGGGAAAATTTTGAGGCAGAATGTTTGAGGTAGTCTTGCCTGATTGCTCTGTCCCCATATTCATGCTCTTGGTACTATTGTATTGAACAACGTATTGTTCCTTTTTATGTCATGGCTCACCTTTGTTTAAAAGTCGGCTGAACATAAATGAAGCCTCATATTTTCCAGGCTATAGCTTGTACGGTGCATGTTTCCTCTCATATGCTAATTCTTGTTGGCCTATGCTCCCTGCTTAATTCTTTTTAATTATTCCAAAATATCCAAAATGTAAGGAAAAAAATGTCGATAACAATATCTATTGTTTATTGAGCGCTTAGTATGTTTACTGTACCAAGCGCTTTACCTATATATCTGTCTGAATTAATATCAACACTACTCCTAGATTGTGTCAGTATTAACTTTACTGGTTTCATTGTCATAAAAAATGAGTACTGGGGGTGTCTGCTGTCTTTAGCCTTAAATTTTAAAACATTCCAAAATACTGGGCCATTTAAAGAGGTACTCTTGAGAACAGAGGAAATAAGACAATTAAAAGAGGCCTGTACAGTTCAGGAGAATGCTTCAGAGATTCCTTTGTAGAGATCTGTCTAGATCCAGAAAGCTTGAACCATAATTCAGTATCTAAAATGTTATTAAAGGCAGCTTTTAACACCATGGCAGGTCTGTAATCAAATGCCACCAGTACTGGTTAGGCATAAAACCCAGATTGACTCAGAATACTCCATAGGATTGGAGGGACAGTGTGGGACTTTTGGGTTCTGTTTAAATTCAGGGGAAAGGACATACCTTTTATTTCCCTTGGTTGCATAGACCATGGTTTATCATACTTGTGCTCATAACAAGTTCCATTCTACCCTCTAATTCTTTGTGTTCTCCCTCATATTCCACACTTTGGGTTGGTGTTCATGTGTTTTGTTTGGCTGAATTTATTATACAGTCAGAGGATGGATTTGGTACCAAGGATGTCACTACACCAGGTCATTCCACGCCGGTGCCTGATGGGAAAAATGCCATGTCTATTTTCAGTTCTGCTACTAAAACAGGTGTGTACAATGATTATTTGCCTCACTTGGATTGTTGCTAAAGTAAAATGCAAGGGAGATGCTTCTCGATTTAGAATTAAATTTTTACTGTAAGAGCAATAATTTGACCCATCTTTAATTTTTCATAGTTTTTCAGTTATTTTCAAAACTGATAAACATATTTGGAAATAATTGTCTCTAAATTTAACCGAAAACCTAGGGAAAAAAATTCACAGGCAGGTCTTGCTCACTGAGATCCATGCCCTCTCCTCACTCCTTTTCTCTGGATGAAGTTGCTCATTCTGCGTCTTTGCCTCCTTTCCCGCAGACGTCCGGCAGGATAATGCTGCTGGCAGAGCTGGCTCCAGTAGCCTTACACAGGTGACAGACCTGGCACCTTCCCTGCATGACTTAGACAACATCTTTGATAATTCCGATGATGACGAACTTGGGGTGAGTCTGCCATAGCTACTGAAACAGAAATCTTCCTACATGGGAGGGCTTAGGTCACTGTTGGGAGGATTTCCTTATCATTTGGTCTACTGAATTTTGGGGCCTCTTATTTCAGGTTCAGAAAGTTCTGCAGAAATGTTTGAATACTTTGAAAGGATTCTAAAAGTTGTCAGTGTAGTCTCTAACACCCCTTGGGTTCTCTTTGTTAATGTCTTCTTTTATTATTTTATTCCTGTTGTAAATTTTAAAATCTTTCCCATTCAGTTTTTAAATCCTTCTAAATATCATGAGACTAGTAGAAGTGTATTATGTAATCCCTTTAGCTCAGATTTTAAAGATAATGCCCCGTAACTTTTTATTCATCTCATCAGTCAGAACTTAGTCTACATTTTGAGAGATTAAACCAGTTTGATCTATACTTTTTAGGGTTATGGCACAATAGCCGGGAAAAAGGACTTATGTACATAGAAGTTAAATAATATGACATGATGTGGTTAAAGTGACAGATAAGAATTATAATTCTTAGGAGAACAGCTGAGCTGCTCTGAATCAGGAAATTTATGTCATTGTCCTCCTAACCACCTCTGTACTTTTGGGCAGATAGAAGTACCTGTTTATTTCTGGGGGACCAAGAAATGAGTAAGGTCCTCTCTTCAAGGAAATAAGTTTATCAGTTTATTTTTCTTTCACTTATATATGTACTTAACCTTCCTTCCCTTTTGTCCATTTCCCATATATTTGTTACTCATTTGATGGTCAGTTCCTTTGTGACGTGTATTTGAGGTTACAAATATTACCATACCCCAAGTATCAGGATACTTGAGGTACTCACAGACCTCAGGAGAAGTAGCATATAAATAAAGTCAAAAATTACTTAAAAATATACAAAAATATATACACACATGCACGTTTATTACTGTGAGTGCTGTAATTGACCTGTGTCTAAAGATGCTGGACGTTCAAGTACAAAGTGACAGGTGAGCAGTGTTTAAGGTTTAAAGGTTAAGTAGGAATCAGAATTCTGAAGCCTGTTCTCACTTTAAAATAAAATGTATCTGATTAACAGATACTATACATCATTAGTAATGTTAAGTACTTAGAAGATGATGAGATCATAATGGCCTCCAAGAAAGGATTTGACTTGAAGTGTGGAAAGACAGGGTTAGTGAGAGGCAGGGGAGAGGCGTTAGTCTGAACCTGGAATGAGCCTTGGTTAAGCAACAAGAATGAACCAGCTGAGGGTGGAGAGCATAGTGAACAGACCATTGGTCTGCTCTCTGAGTGGTGGGTAAAGATTGACAGGGTTAGGAAGGTTTTTGACAACACTTACGGCTTTGGACTTCAAACTCTGCCTATAATGTGCCCCTCCGTGAAGGCTGCTGAGTGTGGAACTGACTAGGTAGAAGCCAGTGCTGGTTTTCATCAGTCTCATACACAGAAAGCAGGAGTACTATTTGGTAACTTTGATTGGATTAAAACACAAGGACCGGAATTCAGGCAGTGGCTGTGTGAAGGAAAGGACATGACAGTGAGAACAACTGTAGTACAAGAAGGGACATGTTTCCTTAGTGTGTTGATCCAGGCATCCAAGAGCCTTTTTGAACTTGACTATCTCCCTATACATCAGGCATTAGGTAGGACTGATTTTAATGGGCCTTAGGGTTTGGTTAGCTGCTTTGGTGGGGATGGCGGGACGAAACATGAAGAGACAAGGAATCCAAAAGAAGTAGAAAGGGAGGAGTGAGAAAGGGTACAAAGCAAGCATTGCGGAGTAGCCAGGGCCTGTTCCCAGCCACCATCCCCAGTGACCGTTGTTAGCGCTCAGAACCGTCGTACTTACATCTGGGTAAATTACGTATTACTGTTGGACTAACTGAAGATATGTTTACTTTGGTTTTTGAATATATTCTTAGTAACGTTAATATGTAAAGGAGGGTTGGACATTTTTAATCTAATTTTCATTTCTGTGAAATGATTGTTTCTGCTTTACTCTGATTTCTAGCCTGGCATTTAATCAAGAGAATCGCTTACCTCAGACTTGTTTTTGCTAATTCATCTTACTGATAACTGGTGGTGTGAGGCTGTTCAAGTTTTCATCTCAAATGTCTTTGAATTTAATTTTACATTTCAACCCTGTGACATTGAATAAGTATACATACATAAAAGGCCTTCTATTTGTGAGAATCTTTTTTTTTTTTACTTTGTTTTATCTTGCCACTAATTCATTTGACTTCTTAAAGATAATCTTGGCTATTAAAGGACTTAATTTATTTTGAACAACAAATCAAAGAACGCCCTCTCTGCATATTTCAATAATTTTATGTAATAGGTTATTTTTTTTCTTTTTTTTAAAGATTTTATTTACTTATTTGAGAGAGAGAGAGAATGAGAGATAGAAAGCACGAGAGGGAAAGAGGGTCAGAGGGAGAAGCAGACTCCCTGCCGAGCAGGAAGCCCGATGCGGGACTCGATCTCGGGACTCCAGGACCATGACCTGAGCCGAAGGCAGTCGCTTCACCAACTGAGCCACCCAGGCGCCCCTGTAATAGGTTATTTTTTATGAAGATGAACAGTAACTGAGGAAATAGGAACAGAAGATACATGGGGTATTTTTTTGTGGTGAAAAATAAAAGAATAATACTTTGGGATGGCTTGAGGTCACCTCTTTTAACTTCCTGCTTCCAAACAGAAGGAAAACCAGACTGATAGCCAATTACTCCTTAGAGGCACCATCCTAATTTAGTTGTTGTGTCCCTGAAACCACTTCTCAAATGACCTGGGAGGAAGCTTTGTTTAAGGTCTGTAAGTTGTGCTTTGATGGTGCAGTCTGCCCTTACCAGACCCATGCAGAGAAGATTCAGTCGCTCTGGTTTTCATTCTTGGTAAGCTTGTAGCCTTCTCCTTGGCTCCACTGTCTGTGGGTATTCCCACAAGTTCACTTGTAAACACTGTGTAAGGAAGCATCTTTATTCCAAAATATCAGTAGGCGTATGTTGAGAGATAGTTGACTGCTGCCCTATTTAGATGCAAGTGTGTTGCCCTGTTTTAATAATAATAATCTTTTCTTAGGCTGTATCACCTGCGCTGCGTTCATCAAAAATGCCTGCAGTTGGGGCAGAAGACCGACCTCTTGGGAAGGATGGAAGAGCTGCTGTTCCTTACCCACCAAGTAAGAAAAGGAAATTGAGCCTTGGCTTACTATTTATAACTTATACAAAATGTTCTCATACTCAGTGGTGCCTTACCTGAGATTCCCCTCTGTCCCCCCCCTTTTTTTCTTTTAACAGAATACTAACTGTGAATTAAAACTTGTATAAGTTGGAATTCCTGAGATGGGGCAGGCAGCTAAGAGACCATTTTAGTTTGAATTTCTTTTGCTTTTGTTTTCAAATTAATAATTAACTCTTATGGTTTAGAATGTGGAAAAATGGGGGGGGGTTTATGTTTGTTTCTCTAATAACCTTTCTCTAGTAGGATAAATGCTACCCAGTGATTTTCAGAGTGATATGCCAGTATAAGAGCTTGTGTAAGATGTTTCAAAAAATTTAATTTACCCAAGGATAAGGAACATTTGTTATTTGTGGTCCTTTTTCTAATTCATACTGAAGTTTTTGTGTTTCATTTTGAGATCAAATAGTTTATTGCATAAGATGACAAGAAGAGAAACTTCCTTTTTTTTTTTTTTTTTTTTTTTTTTTTGAAAGTTACTCTTCAGCCGAGGAAACTACATTACTGTACAAGAGAAAAGACAGGGTAGCTTACATGGATACTCTGAAGCAGAAACATAATTCCATTGCAAATCATTCTTTAATACCTTCTCATTAACTTCAGCTGGTAATGAGAACAAATTGAGGGGAAAAACCACTATGTCATAGGGATGAGTCAAAAAGTTTTATGAACCTATAAATGTGTGCTGATTTACTCAAATGTAGAAGTGTGAAGTGTACAGAGATTGGATTTTGACAGCTTTAGTAGATCCATAGCTTTTTAAAATATGCAAAGCTTTCTCAAGCATGACATGTATGAAAATGAATAATGGTAGCCAGCCAGTTGCTGTAGTTTTTTTAATTAAACATTTTTCTTTTTTTATTACTCTGCACTGCAGAATTTTGCAAACATGGAATTCACAGATTAAAAGAAACAATATTAAAGTAGATACATAGGGAATAGGTCAGATGAATGCATTTTTTTCCCTTGTATTGAACCAGTGAACCTCTGCCCTTTTTGACATTAAGTGATACGTTGTGATGTTAAATGTTAAAATGTCTGATAACTTGTCCAAGATTATTGGACTCACAATATTGCACTCACACACCATTCCTCTAGTCACTGTCATGCCCAGGAAAGTATATGTGTACTCTCTTCTTTTGCTCATCTTTATTCTGAAAATAATTGTTTCAAAAAGAAGCTACTCAAAATTTTATGATAAAGTACAGATTATAAAAATTAATTAATTTGAAATATAGCAAAAATATAAGCATTAGGCAAATACAGATATAAAAGAGTGAATAGGATCTTCCGATGTGCACGAAGTATACATGGGTAAATGTGTGTACGTGCGTGTATCTGTACATACACACAATACTTCCTCCTGAGACATGACCGTGAAATAGCCTGGCAAGACGTTCTCATCTCTGCAAGAGCTTTATTGTACATTGAGGCGGAGAGACTGACATATTATAAAATTTAGTGTCTAGAACAACACTATTCAATTTAATAGAAATACAGTGTGGGCCAAAAATGAGAGCCACATAAGCAGTCTTAAATTTTCTAGTAGTGTTACATTAAAGGAAGTAAAAAAGAACCATGTAAAATTAATTTAAATAATATATTTATTTAATATAACCAGTAGTGTCATTTTTACATGTAATCGGTGTTTTAAATATTGAGGTATTTTAATTTTTTTTTTTTGTACTATTTGGAATCTGTTTGTTTTTTTTTAATCTGTGGAATATTTTACATAGCACATCTCAGTTTGGACAACCCTTGGCTTGGGTGCTCTATAGCCTATGTGGCTAGTGGATACTGTGTTTGAGAGAATAGGTCCATAATTACTCATTTATGTATGTAGTAATGTAGTAGTGAAGAAATCAACACGCAGTAATAACTCGGTTTAATTTGGCATCAAGTCTGTGTTAAGGTAGTATTGTGTGATAATAATACATACAATGGTACACCTCAACTCCAGCCCATTCTGGTAGCTGTTCTCACCCTTGCTTTAGCATTTTAAGAAGAAAATTGAACAAACAAGCCACGGTTTTCTATTTTGGAGGACCAGAATGTTTCTCTGGGTTTCTGTCTTCTTTCTGTCTTACCCACTTTGACTCCGGTTCCTTCTTTCATCTCAAAACCTGTTGAGGGTCATATCTTTTCAGAAATTCCTTATAACTTAACAGCATTTTCGTCTTTTTTCCAGTCAAAAATGGGGAGGGCAGGCTTCATCACTTACTGATGGCTTCATCAGTTACTGAATGTTTAGATGTTATATGGTGAAGTGTTCACTTCTATGCGTATGTTATTTAATGTGTACAAAAAAATATGAGGTAGATATTATTACCATTTGCAGATGACAAACTTGAAGCTAGAGAGGTTAAGAGTCTTCCTTAAGAATATCTGATAATGGGGGGTTCCCTGGGTGGCTCAGTCGTTAAGCGTCTGCCTTCGGCTCAGGTCAGGATCCCAGGGTGCTGGGATCGAGCCCCTCATCGGGCTCCCTGCTCCGCGGGAAGCCTGCTTCTCCCTCTCCCACTCCCCCTGCTTATGTTCCCTCTTCGCTGCATCTCTCTCTGTCAAATAAATAAATAAATCTTAAAAAAAAAAGAATATCTGATAATGGGGTGCCTGGCTGCTGAGTCAGTGGAGCATGTGACTCTTGATCTTGGGGTTGTGAGTTCGAGCCACACGTTGGCTGAAAAGATTATTTAAAAATAAAATCTTAAAAAAAAAAATCTGGTAATAATAGTGAAAGCCACTTTCTAAAGTGAGTCTCTGGCAGGTAGAATCTTATTTTCCATACTTTTTTTGTGTGTTCTCTTTTACCTTTGGTAAAAAATATCAGGGTGGCTGAGGTGTTGAAAATTGAGATACATAACTGTGTTAGGTAACATCAAAGAATTTGAGTATTCCCAGGTGAGAAACGCCTTTATAACATTTCTTAGGCAAAATTTAGTAGCCAATTTGGTAAAAATAATTTTTGGTAAAACTTTATACCATGGCCAGAATACTTGTATGCGAAGGAGACGCTATGTTTAAGTTCATTGTCATATTAACACAAAGAGAATTTGTACAGTTTATTTTCCAAATATTTACTTGATGATTAAGATCTATAATATGAGTTTGAAGATTTTATGAGGTAGACTTAGAATTTAAAATGTTATAATGTACTTAAACATTAATTTTATGTTAAAATTGACCCATAGCTGCTCTTTGGCTTGGGAAAAGGAGTAGGGACTGAAAGATAAAGGTGATGGATGTATTTCAAGTGGAACCTAACTCAGTATTAAATAAAGTCTTTACTCTTGTTTTAAAGAAAACTTACTGATCTCATTGCTGCTACATTTGAAGACCTGTTTTTCTTCTTCAGACTCCAGCGGTTCTCTGGGAGTTTCTGGCTTGGCTTATATCCCTAGTTCTATGAGTTGTTACATTCCTTAATGGTAAAATGCTGTCCTAGCAAGATGGTGCCTTGAAGATCTACTTGGGGGAGTTTAGTTTTTTCTTTCCTCTCCCCTTTTTTTTCCCTTTTTCTCTTTCTTTTTTTCTTGGCAGCAGCAGGCACCACTTTGTCTAATGAAATCTTACACAGAGTCCTACTGTAGGGAATAAATGGAAATGGAGCTTCACTGATGAGAGGGAAAGTTGGTACCTGAGGTCCTGTCTGTTGGCCTCTTCCTTTCCTTGTCTGACAGAGAAGCACCGGAGGCCAGGGGAGGGTAAATTATTCAGAATTATAGAATTGCTTAACTAGGAAACAAGGTAAAGATCATCTCATGCAGAGGTTCTTACCTTTTTTCTGCCTCCATATGGTGGAAGCTTCCCCCTCCCCCCATAAACAAAGGAAAGAAAGTAAGTCTGGTGAGAATCACACATCTAGTTCAGCCATTTAGATGAAGGATCTGAGGCCCCCAGGGAGGAAGTGACCTGACCCTACTGTAGCAGCACTGAGCTGTGGATCCACTCCGGATGGTGGGATGGTGCTGCTTTATACGGCTCTGCCTCAGACTCTAGCCCAGGGCAGAGTGTGGTGTGGTTGTTCTTTATTAATTTCTGATTCAGAAGTAGAGGTTGTATCTTAGTCTAGTCAGTGGTTACTCTTTGCCTCTTTAAATGCTGAAGTTGCAAGAAAGAACAATATGATCGGAAATTGGGACATCAGATACCGTTCCAGAACACTGACTTAAAGGCCTGACTCCAAATTTGTAAATAAATGTGCTGTACAGGACACCCCCTAGTGGCCATGTTTCACAACTACAACTTACATTGCTTACATCTGCTCCTGCATTCAGAATCCCTGCCTTAATGAGCCCCTGCTAATGATGATGGCTAACCTCAGGTATATTAAGATGTTTTTTAAAAAAGGATTGAGAGTCCCTGTTTTAAGCATTTCTTAAAAGATACTTTTTTTACTAGTTGGATTTTTAATAAATTGTCTTTTGGTTCTAGGTAGGATTATTAAACCTAACTATGAAGTTTCATTTTAATGTCAGTATGGACAGCATTTAATGTCAATATGGAATCATTTCCCCGAAGAGCAGTGAGTGTGGTAGATTTTTCAAACTAGCTAAATAATCCTACTACATCTAAACCACCGTTCTACCTCCAAACAATTTCTATTTTTTGTAGTATAAATGCCTGATGGATTTTCCCTGTAAAATTTGCTATAGGACATTTTTATATAATTCTGAAATATTTCATACATATTTGTAAGCAGAGAAAGAACTTTTAATAAAGTTATTCCATCTAATTTCTTCCAGCTTCTACTTATTTTCATCTCCTTATACTCTTAGGCGGTCATTTGTTAGAAGAAAAATGTATGTTACATAGACTTTGTTCACTTAATTATTGTGAAGCCAAATCATAAAGCATCAAGGGGATAGTGGTAAAGTTCCAGAAAAGGATAATTTTCTGCTGATGGCCTTCTTCTTAGAGACTTCCATTATTAATATTCTGTTGTATAACTGATAACAGCCATTCAATTAGCATTATTTCTGATGGCAGGTAGGGTGCCTGCCTACGAACTGGGATATTTTAGAAGTCCTACCTGTTAAAATAAATATTGTTGTCTCTTCTCTTCTCTTCTCTTCTCTTAGCAGTTGCAGACTTGCAAAGGATGTTCCCCACTCCTCCTTCCTTGGAACAGCACCCTGCATTTTCTCCTGTAATGAATTATAAAGATGGAATCAGTTCAGAGACAGTGACTGCATTAGGCATGATGGAGAGCCCTATGGTCAGTATGGTTTCAACACAGCTCACTGAATTCAAAATGGAAGTAGAAGATGGATTAGGAAGTCCCAAGCCAGAGGAAGTAAAGGTAATTGCCAATATATTAATTTTATCAAGGCAGGGTGTTTTTTAAGCAGATTCACATACATCTTCAAAATACTATTATCTCTATGCCATGTATACATACGTTTCTAAGAATCCTCTGAATTGGATCACGAGGTACATTGCTTGGTATATTAACTCTAGTGTCTTGATTAATTTAAAATTTTGGTATTAGCATTTTCTGCCGATTAGATGAGAGAGATACTGAATTCCAGTCATTTTTGTTATTGTCGTGGTGTGTCCTAAGTTGTTCACTGGCATTATCACTGGCCTCCCCTTTGTTGTCACAGGACTTTTCATATGTGCACAGAGTTCCAGCCTTTCAACCTTTTGTGGGATCCTCCATGTTTGCTCCACTGAAGATGTTGCCGAGCCAATGCTTGCTACCTCTGAAGATCCCTGACGCCTGTCTGTTTCGGCCTTCGTGGGCAATCCCTCCGAAAATTGAACAACTGCCCATGCCGCCTGCAGCCATTTTCAATAGAGATGGCTACAAGTACGTGCAGGGACTGCGTCACGTTACCTGCCCCATTGAATGTGGTGTTGATCTTAACCAAATATCTACTTAAAATGATGACATCAGCATAGCATTTGAAACTTTCCTTTCTTGGCCATTCATGCTTTTGTGCACATTATTTTGTGTTGAAAATGTGCATATTTTCTAACTAAATTTTATGTACACAGATAAACTAAGGTTATTTGCATAGACAACTGTGGTGTTCATGCTCATTCAGCATCAGATCTGTGTCTACCACAGAATCAAACACTAGATTGGAGTTGGTAATATTATTTGGATAGTGGTGGTATTTAGTTTATATATTGGTGATTCCAAATGTGCTTACTTCAGGCACTTTAAAATGAAGTGTTAGCATGGACATTTTCTCTGTTGCTGACCCCATGTCATATAAGAAAGCAGCAGCGGGTGGTATGATATGGAAGAAGGAAGAGGGGGTGTTTATCATACAGCTTGGGCACGTAGCGCTCTACCGAAAAACAACAGTCTGTCCCAGTGCGGATTCAGTTTCCCCTGTGATTAATAATTTCTTAATAAAATAAATGCTTTAAAAATATAAGGCCATAAACTCAAATTTCTGTCGGGACCAGGTAAACAATGTGTGGATGACATGGTTTGGGTAAAGCAAAAGATTTGGCACCACTGATGGTCAGTGTCATCCTCAGGGACAGTAGGAAAGAGCAGCGTCTTTGATGGAACTGTTAAGAGTATGCCTTATTTATTCATTCATTCATTCACCCATCCGTTCATCCGTCCATCCACCTATCCATTTTTTAAAAGATTTTATTTATTTATTCATGAGTGAGAGAGAGAGAGGCAGAGGGAGAAGCAGACTCCCTGCTGAGCAGGGAGCCCGATGCGGGACTCGATCCCAGGACCCTGGGATCACGATCTGAGCTGAAGGCAGACACTTAACCGACTGAGCCACCCAGGCGCCCAAGAGTATGCCTTATTTAAAGGGACTGTTTGCTATGCAATTACAGTGCATTGTTCAGGCAGGAATGTGGGAGACTGAAGTTCTGCACTTTTATGTAAATGTCCTTTTTAAAAATGGTGGTAGTTAATTCAGAGTTACATTTTAGGAGCCCATAAAACAATAAGACAAATTCCAGATCCAGTCTGTGGGCTGTATTTGTGACATCACATAAAACCATCTTGACAAAACCAACTTTAATGTCATAAACAGGCTTTCTGCGTAGGTATGTAGAGTCAGTGTCAGAATGTGAAAAACTGTGATAGAGTGTAGGATAAAAGAACCCAGACTTGGGGAGGTAGAGCTGTGCTGTCATAGGACTCCATTCCTGCCTTTTTTTGTTTACTCCTGTGTATGACCTTAAATGACCAGCTTACCTGAGTCTTTCCCTTTTTTAAGATGGTATAATCCTGCCTGACTTCCTGCACAAGATTTTTGAAAGGTTCCAATGGTTGTGGAAATATTGTGGCAATAACAACTAACCAGCAGGAGGAAAGAATGTGCTTAGAAGTACCCTGGTGGTGATCTCTGGGCTTGTTTTTGGCTGCCGTGCTCCAGTTGTACTTGAGCTTAAGTAGGTACTGATCTAGTCCAGCGGAGCTGATAAACCCAGAAGGGTTGCCACACCATTCTCATCCAATGCAGCAGCTCCAGGAACCCATTTGACAGTTGAATTTCTTATACACGGAGACTCCTCAAAAAAGTGACGTGGAGCCCTTTGCTGTATGATAGTTTAAATAATAAATAATTTAGACCATTGTTTAGATGTATTAAATCTATCCCTTGCCATCCCAAAGATCCTTGGTATTCTCAACTGGCACTGTTAAGAACTTTCTTTGATGAAGGAAGTGTTTTGTATCTGCACCTTCCAATATGGCATCCCTGCCCTGATGTTGTTGCCGTGCACCTCTTAAAATGTGGCTAGTTGAGACCAAGGCTGAATTTTTAGTTTTATTCATTCATTCATTCATTCATTTATTTTTAAAGATTTTATTTATTTATTTGACAGAGAGAGGTACAGCGAGAGAGGGAACACATGCAGGGGGAGTGGGAGAGGGAGAAGCAGGTTTCCCATGGAGCAGGGAGCCCGATGTAGGGCTCCATCCCAGGACCCTGGGATCATGACCTGAGCCGAAGGCAGACGCTTAACGACTGATCCACCCAGGTGCCCCTAGGCTGAATTTTTAGTTTATTTAAGTTGATTTAAATTTAGCACATAGGGCTAGTGATAACACTATTGGATAGCACAATTCTAGACTATGTGAGTTCTTTCTGCTGGGGTCTCCCATCACCCTGGCCACCCCTTTGTCGCACTCAGCACACCAGCGCTCACTTGTTTGACATCTGTCATACTTGCTGTGAGCTAACTTTTCTTCCCCTTTTTACTGTTGAATACCCAGCACCTAGCATAGTGTTGGTACTCAGTTCATTTTTATTGAATGGGAAAAATCAGGTTACTATACAAGCTAAACCATTCTTACTACCTAGGGAGCAATTTAATTATTTAGGTTTTCATTTAGTAGTCATAGTTCCTTTTCTGATCTGAACTGTATAATATATTTCAGGGTTTTGTCAAACAGGAGAATTTGAATGGAGTCCAGTTAGAGTGAAGATCATTATTACACACTTATTATTTTGGTCTCTGAGATAGCAGTGATTGCTAATCACGGTTTCTGGATCATTTTTTATCTGTACTCAAAGATACCACTGTGCTTCAGATTTAGTTTCTTTCTAGTGCTTGATTTGGGTTTTTTAAGCTGGTAGTTTAGGTATAGCTAGTTAAAAATGACAAGAAAATTATTTGAAGAGCCATTACTTTATGACATTCTTCTTCCAAATTATAAGTGAATGAATATGTAGTTTATTGGAAGGACATTAGTTTAAGCACAGTATTAATAGATTTCAAAAGAAAAGCATTAGATGAAATCTGTATTCTTTTGATACCTTCTAATTGGAAAGAATGGTCTCATTTGCTGTTTCACATGTACATTTAAGAATGTATGTAAAAAGTTTTTTTACAATAATAAAACAAAACATCGTAGACTGTTTTGTTTTCTGTGTGGCTATTCCAAAAAGAAGTCATTGCTTATGAAAAAATAGATAACACAATGTGATCAGTCTGTGGGAACTAAAAATAATTGTGCTATAGGTAATGCATAGCATATTGAAAATTTACAATGAACTAAAATTGCCTACAACCCCACAGAAATCTGTTAGAAGTTTGGAAGCTGTGATACAATATGTGTACCGTGCAATTCATCTAATTAATATAAGGTCTCCTAGCTACATAGGTGATATTGGTATTAATTGTAGTGTAATACCGGCCAGTGGGTTTCCTACAATTGAATTCCTTCATGGTCACTCAGTACTATAAAAATGCAAGCCTAGATAGGACTGTGCTTTGAAAATTAGAAAAATGGCAAATGTTCCTGTGTGTTTGATTATAACTGCTTTAGAATCATATATGGATTATGGCCTCAGAGGACAAGTATAGTGGCCGACTTTCAATTTTAAAAAGTGACAAAAATGTAATTGCAGATTAGATGGAAATTTTATCCTATGGTCTTCTAGCTAATTTAGCATCTGAACTCATGTGTTAAAGTTCCACTTACCAGATACAGTTTTTTCAAAACTACATTGACCAAACCCAGCACCATGTTTTCTTGTAAGAACAGTAAAGTTCCCTTGAAAGATTAAGATGAAGATTGCTTAGATGTGGAATAAGTAGAAGGAAAATGGTGTATTATTCTTGGTGTATGGTGTAGTATTCTTCATACCTTGCTGCTTGCTTTCCGCTCCGCTTTTATTGACTCCTTTGAGTCCTTTTTTTCTTTTTTAAGAAAAAATTGACTCTACCTAGTGGTACCCTGCATAAATGATAAGAAATGCACAGGCCAGGTGGGGTAATTGTGTGTGTATTCCAGCTTCTCTGACGTGCACCCATTCCCGTTTGGTACTGTCTGTTGCAGTAATGTGCCTAGTGTCGGGAGCCTAGCAGACCCAGACTACCTGAATACACCACAGATGAACACTCCGGTGACGCTGAACAGCGCTGCCCCAGCCAGCAACAGTGGAGCAGGAGTTTTGCCATCTCCAGCAACCCCTCGCTTCTCTGTCCCCACACCACGAACCCCCAGGACCCCAAGAACTCCCAGAGGTGGGGGCACTGCCAGTGGTCAAGGGTCGGTTAAATATGATAGCACCGATCAGGGGTCACCAGCTTCTACCCCCTCTACCACGCGGCCCCTGAACTCTGTGGAGCCTGCCACCATGCAGCCAATTCCTGAAGCCCACAGTCTCTATGTCACCCTGATTCTCTCGGATTCTGTGATGAATATCTTTAAAGACAGAAACTTTGACAGCTGTTGCATCTGTGCCTGCAACATGAACATCAAAGGGGCCGATGTCGGGCTTTACATCCCCGATTCTTCCAACGAGGACCAGTATCGCTGTACCTGTGGGTTTAGTGCGATTATGAATCGCAAACTTGGCTACAATTCGGGACTCTTCCTGGAAGATGAGTTGGATATTTTTGGGAAGAATTCTGATATTGGTCAGGCTGCGGAGAGGCGCTTAATGATGTGTCAGACTACCTTCCTCCCTCAGATGGAGGGAGTCAGAAAGTCCCCGGAGCCACCTATAAGCCTCCTCCTCCTCCTCCAGAATCAACATACACAACCTTTTGCTTCACTGAGTTTCCTGGACTACATTTCCTCTAACAGTCGCCAGACTCTTCCCTGTGTAAGCTGGAGTTACGACCGGGTGCAAGCAGATAATAATGATTACTGGACGGAATGCTTTAATGCCTTGGAGCAGGGCCGTCAGTATGTGGATAATCCCACGGGTGGAAAAGTAGATGAAGCTCTGGTGAGAAGTGCCACTGTGCACTCTTGGCCTCACAGCAACGGTACGTTTCCCAGAATACATGTCTACTTTGAAAATTATTTTGGTATGATGGTAAATTATAAACTTTCTTTACTTTGTTATAGGACAGAATTTTAAACTTCATTTCTTAAAAAAAAAGAACTAAAGTTAAGAGCTCTGTGGATAATCTTCTTAAATTTAAGGACTGGAGCAATGTTTTATATTGAAACACTTTTTGAGGAGACTATTTTGTGAAAACTTCTTCTCAAATTAATTCCTATAGGCAGTTCCTATGGAAAACTTACGATTGCTGCATATCTGCATCGATGAGAGTACACAGATGAATAGTTTGTGCACCTTGCATTTTTTTTTTTTTTAATTTATTTATTTGACAGAGAGAGACACAGCGAGAGAGGGAACACAAGCAGGGGGAGTGGGAGAGGGAGAAGCAGGCTTCCCGCGGAGCAGGGAGCCCGATGCGGGGCTCGATTCCAGGACCCTGGGAGCATGACCTGAGCCGAAGGCAGACGCTTAACGACTGAGCCACCCAGGTGCCCCTGCACCTTGCATGTTTAAATCTACCCGTTCTAGATCAGTCATCCATGATACTTCTTCATGAAGCCTTCTACCCATTTCCAGAGCATTTTCTCCTTCCTTTGCTTTTCCAGTGTTTTGCATCTCTTATAACAATGATTACAGTTTACTTTGTGTTGTGGTTCCTGAGGCATGTCACTGGCTCTTCTATTATGAAAAGCTCCAGTTGACAAATAATCTGTGATGTTGAGCTCTTAAGTGAGCCATGCAACTTGCTGTTCCCTTCCCTTACTCATTCACTCTACTGTGATGCATCCTGGGGGCCAAAATGACTGAGACAAGGCACCTCTCTGAGGGACTTTCTAATCTATTCTGGAAGATGGACATCAGATTAATCAAATAGTTATTCAAATTAGCATATTATTAGGGGGAACCATTATAAGCGAAGAAAGCGTGGGGTGGGAGGGTCTTCCTAGGCTGGGGATCGGGAAAGACCTCCTTAAAGAAGTAGTAACATTAGAGATTTCAGTGCCAAGTACAGAGTAACTGGCTAAAGAGGGTAGAGAGCAAAGAATTGTGCCCCAGGCAGAAGGAGCAGCAAGAGGGAAGGCCCAGAGTTATATAGAGCTTGGAGCTTTCAAAGAACTGAAGGCTCTGTTTCAAATAAACAAATCTCTCTTTTTTTTTTTATAAGGGGGGTGGTGCCTGGGTGGTTCAGTCGGTTAAGCATCTGACTCCTGATTTTGGCTCAGGTTATGATCTCAGCGTCATGAGATCGAGCCCTTAGTTAGGCTCTGCGCTCAGTGGGGAATTTGCTTGAGATTCTCTCCCTCCCCCCCCAATGAATAAATACATCTTCAAAGAACTGAAGGAAGCTTGGAGCTGGCTAGATTCCCAAGAGCCATTTGAGACCTGCTGGGGCTGGGATCCCTAATAAATCATTGATAGGTTTATGAAGAAGCATTGACATCTGATGGAAATGGCAGGAATGGTGGAGAGACGAGGGGGTTAGTGCAGCGGCTCAAATAAGAAATAATAGCTTGGTTTCTTGTCTTGGCAAAGGAGATGGAAAAGAAGTGGAAACATTCAAGAGATATTGAAGAGGTAGTCGGACTGCAGGACTTGGTAGTGGGTTGGATTTTTGGGGTCACAGAGAGCGAGATGTTAAGGAAGACACCTGGGTTTGTGACTTGTAAACCTGGACAGATAGTGATGTCATTCAAAGATAGGTGTACTGGAGGAAGACCAGGTCTGGGGAGAAAGCTTCTAAGTTGAATTTTGGAAATTTTAAAGATCTCTTCTGAGATATCCAGGTAGAGATGTCAGGTAGACACTTAAGACTTCACGGGCCTGCAGCTTAGAGGAAAGGGAGTAGTTGGTTTGTAGATACTCAAGTCGGGCACAGAGGAGGAGGAAAGCTCACTGAGGAGGAGGAAACCTAGAATGACAAGAGGGCTTGGGACAGAGTTTTGGTGAATTCTGCTATGTAACCAAGTTTCAAGAAAGAGAAGAGTGAGTGGTCAAGAAGCATTAAAATGCTGCTGAGCTTTTAAGAAGAGGATTAAACATATCTTTTGATCATGGTGAGGAACTGCTTCTGTAGAAAGGTGGGAACAGGTTGGGCTGGCGTGGTCGGTTACATGAATGAAACATGGACCTTGCTCTGAACAGCTCTCACCCTTGTAGGGGAGAAGGTTATATAAGCTTCCTAAATACAGTTGGAAATCTGGAATGAAAAAGTATGTTTAGAGGACAGAGATCAGTAGAGTAGGGGATGATAGACATTTTCTGAGTAGCCAAGCCAGGAGACTTCTCGGAGGTGGAGACTTGTAAGGAAGTATTCAAGGGGTTACACTCATGTCTGCAACCACTTAGGTTTGAGCTCAGTGCCTTGTACTTAGCAGGCCTCTAATAATGTCTGCCAGATGCATTTATGAATTAAAGTACAGTCTTTCCCCTAAAGAAATGTGGGTGATTATCTTGGGTGGTTCCTTTTACTAGATGGTAGCCTTCAGACAGAAGAGCAGTGTGTGGGTGGATCAGTACTGTCATCTCTGGATATGAAGAATAGCAGAGTCTTTTGCAGGGGAGGTTTGGGTTCCAAAGTCAGAAGCTTAGTACCAGACAGATAATGTAAATGAATGATGCCGGAGCCAGATTTGCAAGCAGCAGTGCCCTCGCCGTGTTTGGCAGTAACACGTTCTCCGCTGCGTGCACACGAGTAGCCACAAAGAATGATGTCTGCTTTTTTCTCTGACCTGTGGTTCTCTTGGTCTGTGATTTTCCAACTTTTGATAGGAGCCATGGGTACAAGAAGTACTTTTTTCTATACCATAAGAAAAAAAGAAGCCCAGGCTTGAAGATAAAGGTGCTCACCACTGCTTCCTTCTCAGGCAGGCAGCAGAGCTGGGTGGGGAGAGCCGTCTGAAGGGGGCACTGCTCCTTCAGTTCAGCCGTGCTGCTCGTGCAGGAATGTGGTCTGTGGCTTCCCAGGTCTCCCAGTTTTTCCTCGAGATGCTGGAAATTTAGATTAGCAACTTGTGTTTGATTTAGGGATATACCTAGAGATGTCTTCACCCTGTGTTTCAGATTTAGTTGGTAGATAAACCTTAGATTTCCATCTGTGCTCCTTTCCTAATCAGCTAAAAGAGGAAGGGTAAGGAAAGGTCTTTAGGTATGCAGCTCATCACCTCAAACTTCATTAGCTCTTTCTTCAGATCTTTTTGAGAATTTGATGAGCGTTTATGGACCTTTCTCCCTGGAAAAGAATACACATATGTTCATGCGTGCACAGTTTTGCATAGAGTCTGAGAGGTTTTTCAGGTTCTATGTTAAGAGCCCCTCCTCTTAGTAGGAAGAATGTTACTTCTGAAACCATGAGTCCTACCTTTTTCTGTGGACAGATGGCTTTTGGTCCTGTCATTGCTTTCGCCATGTTTTCTTATGCCTCTGCCTGCGTGGAAAGTTGTCTTTCTCTCTGTGCACTTTGTATTTTGTGAAAACATTTTACATTAAGAGCATTTTAAACAGTTTTTAAGAGCTTCTATTTAAGTCCTCCCCCCACACTGATCATACTTTCACAACTTTGATATTTGTAAATAAAAATAATACAGTAGTCAAACTTTCACAGCCCTCTTTTCCTATGAACAACCTTGGACACCGATTTGTATGATTTTAAAGAGTCAGGCCTATCCATCCTTTTACTTCTGAGCAATTCTACAGTTAACCTCTTATGTACAGAGTAACCTATTTCTCTTTTTATTATTTCCAATAGTAAATTATAAATTACTTTATAATAATAAAGTAATAAAATACCTTTTCTCTTGGCTGGGAAGTCAAGCATTTTAGAATCTACTGAAAATAAAATCTACCACGAATAACGTCTTTGTCATGGACTATAACTGAGGTCCATAATGATGGCAGGAAAGAGGAGAGTGTTGATCCCCCTTTATGATTTCTGTTCCTTTTCATTTCCTTTCTCTTCCAGTGTTAGACATCAGCATGCTCTCCTCCCAAGATGTGGTCCGCATGCTGTTGTCACTGCAGCCCTTTCTCCAAGATGCCATCCAAAAGAAGCGCACGGGCAGGACCTGGGAGAACATACAGCATGTGCAGGGACCACTGACCTGGCAGCAGTTCCACAAAATGGCAGGACGGGGAACCTATGGTAGAATCTCTTCCCTCTTTCAATTCCTTCTTAATTTTTTTTTGTTCCATAAAAGCTAGCTTTAGTTACTGTCAAGCCCTAGCTTCACTGACAAAGTAGAATCTTTTTCTTCATGACTATTAAATTTTATAATCTTTGTTCTTTCCTAAAGTCAGTTTGGAGTTAAGTTTTCTAAGCATCTTTGGCAGAATCCAGGTCAGTGAGGAAAATAATACTTAAATAGAGTATTCATTAGATTTTCCTCATCTTCCTGATCCTCATTGTATTTTCATCTGGATGAACTTCTGAACTAGTTCTGTCAACTTCTTCCTAGTCAGGATTATAATGCTTAATTTAAAGGAAATGATGTAGTGCTGCTTGGAAAACTAACTGTAACTTGTTCTAATCTGCCCTCTGATCTTATTGGACCTTTCTAAGTACGTTCTGACTCATTGAAATAAGGTTCTTCATTGGGGGCCATATAATTAGAGGATTTGAAGAATACTTTTGAGAGTGATCCTGTCAACCTACGAGGAAATTTCTGATGCCAGAATTAAGACTAATGCAGCAAGAACTTCTTAGTTGTCCAGGTTGTGGGAAACAGACTTGCAAGCACCTTTCTAACTGCCTTTTTGTTACAGGTTCAGAAGAATCTCCTGAGCCATTGCCCATTCCCACTCTGCTGGTAGGCTATGACAAAGACTTCCTCACCATCTCACCATTCTCTTTGCCATTTTGGGAGAGGCTGTTGTTGGACCCATATGGGGGCCACCGTGATGTTGCCTATATTGTGGTGTGTCCAGAAAATGAGGCCTTGCTCGAAGGAGCCAAAACTTTTTTCAGGGACTTGAGCGCTGTATATGAGGTGAGAATGACATGAAAATCGTTTTTGTGATTTGAGTCCTCAGATTGTTTCTAGCTATGACTAAATTTTAAAGAACAAGTATCTTCAAGGTAGATCTCAAAGAAAATTTGCAAATAGTTGGAGGATAAAGGAGAGAATTAAATTGGCAAGTTTTCCTGAAAGTAAGTTGCTTTTCCCTCTTGGCTTTACATTTTGTTAGATTTAGAAGACTTTGCTCTGCCAGCCTTACCACGCATCTTACAATTCTGCCAGCTGTTTTTTCCTCATTTATGTGCTTGAGTTTAAAAGTTTTGCTTACCAGATGGTGTTCTGGCTGTTCAGAAGATGACCTTTACAAAAACAAAATGCATCTCTTTTGCGGGGGGTAGGGGGTCCTGAAAACAGTATAAAAATGTTTATCTTGAAGATTTTTGAATCAAAAGATAAATTTAATGAATCATGTCCCTGTTGTGTATTTAACACTACATTCATCTTAATACTAAAATTTTGATACAGATTAATAATGTAATAACCATAATAATTTAAAAGCCGGTAGATCATTTTATCTATTTAGTACACAAATTACTGTTACTATTGAAAAATTAGAATCATGAGTATCTCTGAAGGATAAGTGCCACATTTTTTCTGCCAAAATATATGTACACTAAATTCTTGGTATCTTATACTTCTAATATCTTTATTTTTGGCAAGATTAAATGAAATTAGTATTTATGAAGAACTGTTAACAGGCATATTATAAACATGACAAGAGTGTTTGTTAAAGAAGATGCCAAGTTGAATTTCTAAAATACTTCATAACGGAACATTCGCTATCTAGAAATGGATGGGCACACATGAAATAGCAAACTTACATGTTGCTACAAAGAAGTGAGATGCTAATGTATGAGGTAATAGCATCAGTTAAGCCCCTAAAGGAACCCTTAGATACAGTAATTTCTATACAGTGCCTGACCCATGGATGTGTAATGCTATTAAATCATTAGGACCATAACACAGAAAACTTGTCTAAGCAATTATTTTAAAGCCCAGCTCTTCTCTTGGATGGAACTTTGAAATGAGTTAAAAAACATAAAAGCTTGCTGTATCTTTTTAGAGCCTAATGACTTTACTAGGATTGCTCATTTGGCGGTAGTACATACCTGGTTAAGAAGAGTGTGTGCTAGAGAACTTTGTAGGGGCTTGGTAAGCCTTCAGTTATCACCTCTAATAAGGGATAATGTGGGCTCTCCTGTTGGTGAATAGATAGTTAAGTAGCTTATTTTTTGCAGGTGTATTATATTAATTCTTTGCCATAAGTACCCATTTAATGTCCTGGAGATTAATAACAGAATCTCATTGTGCTTAAAACAACTATTTACTTTTTAAAAGTGATCAGCATATCCACTGCTTCAGTGGCCTCTGCTATTGGTGGTCTCCAAATGTAACAGTGTAACAGGTGGCCCATAGAATTTTAATATTATCTTATGGGAAAACATTATGAGTAGGGATTACTTAAGAGGTTTTAGTGGACATATGTCTCAGTCAGCCTTAGTAGGCAGGAATCTGGTTAATTCTTTATTTGACCATTAGCAGTCAGGTAGTGCTCAGCGATCTTCCCTTGTGTGGGAGGAATTGGCTGGGGTGAAGAAACATTTATTTTTCTTTAGAGGGTCTAGGCCAGTTTTTGGAGAGACAGATAGCAGTCTCAGCATACGTTATAATTACCAGAAAGGACCAGCGTATAATGTTGGTTTGGTTGCTTGTGTTAACGCTAAAAGAAAAAAAAAAACCCAAATACTTCCATGAGGATGATAAAGAGTTCCCCCCACTGATGACAGGAGTGGTTCCTATTGTAAATAATGATCTTGCTTGTGGTATCAGATGTGTAGGCTTGGGCAGCACAAGCCCATTTGCAAAGTGCTACGAGATGGGATCATGCGTGTGGGAAAGACCGTGGCCCAGAAGCTGACTGACGAGCTTGTGAGCGAGTGGTTCAACCAGCCGTGGAGCAGTGAGGAGAATGACAATCATTCCAGACTCAAACTTTATGCGCAAGTTTGCCGCCATCACCTAGGTAAATGGGAATTTATTTGGCCAAGTAGAATCTGAGAAGTAAAATAGCAAATTGTCCCCCTTTGGGAAGCAGCATTATGCTACTTTCGTCTCAGGTAATGTTAGTGTTCCATTACTGTATTTATTTAGGTCTAATTTCTGTGTTCAAGGTCGTTAAATGCTAATTTTTATGTGCACACACATTCTTTAAAAGCAATTTAAAGTTGCCTAAAGAAGTCATATCTAATTTACTCCACATTTTGAAAACTTAGCAGCAGGACTTGGTATTAACTGCTTAAGTTTAACCAACATTCCCAAGAGAATCTTGGAAGCTTTTAAAGCTCAGTACACAGAAGAGCCTGGTATACCGTGGTGACTATAGAATAGATGGCTTCTCAGTTTTCAGTGCAGGCAGGCAGAGTCAGTCTGAAAGGAAAATGTTACAAGGGATTGATTTTCTTTTTGTTCTTTTCTTTTTTTTCAAATAAGCCTCTTCACCAGAATTAATAAAAAGTAGCTTCGTATTCATTTCGATGTTTGCAGAATATAGAAGCATATATTCAAGTGTGGAGATAGCATTTTGGGTGTCATAATCAGAGTACTGCAGCCTGAAAGCATAATTTTTAAAAAAGTGGCCATTCTGAATTTCTGATTCAGTCCAACATTGCAGAACATCACTGATGTCACCTCTCTGCACGTCCTCTTTCAGCACCTTATCTAGCCACTCTGCAGCTCGATAGCAGCCTGTTGATACCACCTAAGTACCAGTCCCCACCAGCAGCAGCACAGGGACAAGCTACACCTGGGAATGCTGGGCCTCTAGCTTCAAATTCAGGATCAGCAGCGCCCTCAACTGGCAGTGCATTCAATCCCACCTCTAACAGCAGTTCTGGGAACCCGACAGCAAGTAGCTCCGCATCTGGTTCCTCTGTGCCACCCGTCTCATCATCTGCCCCTGCTCCTGTTATTAACCAGATCAGCACTACCTCTTCTTCAGGATTCAGTGCTAGTGTTGGAGGGCAGAACCCCAGCACTGGGGCCAGTTCTGCAGATAGAACACAAGGGAACATAGGCTGTGGTGGAGACACTGAGCCTGGGCAGAGCTCCTCTCAGCCCTCTCAGGATGGACAAGAAAGGTATGTTGTTCGCCGATTGAGACCAGTGGCTTTAGCTTGGACTCCTTACTTACTCTTCTGCATGCATCTGTCCCCCTCAACGTCATGAATCTCTCAATCTAGTGAAGTGCTCTATTTCTCTTCTTCCCAAAAGGAAGTAACAACTGTCAGTCTGTTGCTTCAGTGTTAAGAAATTTGAGACTTCTTATAAACTTACTAGCTTCGTAGTAAGTTTTACTGATAATTCTACTATTACTATGTGAACAGAATATACGGATAATAGCAATAGTAAGCCATTACCACTAACATTAATAGTATTATAAAACATCTTTTTAGAATATGGCCCCAGGAAAAAGAGGGAGTGGAAAAAGAGATCTCCCATTTAAAGGAGTATATTGTCATTTCCCACCTGTCTTGGTACTAATTGGCTTGGTTTGCTTTCATTTGGTAATACACATATTGATGTTATATTTAATCTGTAATCATCGTCCAGGGGATCGGTGTGCTCTGGAACTGGTTTATTTGTGTGACTTGTATTTGTTTTGTGCATTTCATAAGTGGCTCTCTCTGCAGTGTCACAGAACGAGAGAGAATAGGAATTCCCACTGAGCCTGACTCTGCAGACAGCCAGGCCTATCCTCCAGCTGTTGTCATTTACATGGTGGACCCCTTCACTTACACTGCAGACGAAGACTCCACTTCTGGAAACTTTTGGCTGTTGAGTTTGATGCGCTGCTACACAGAGATGCTAGATAATTTACCTGAGCATATGAGAAATTCTTTCATTCTCCAGGTAACTATTTGCAACTTTATTTTTCCCTTTTATTATTGTTTTTTGTGAAATACAAGTTCATGATTTTTTTTTAATTGGAAGTACATGAAAGCTATAAAGGAAAAGATATTCATAATTCTACCTTTAGATTAAGTCACCATTGCATAACATTTTGGTATATTTCTAGCCTTTTTTGTGTATGTTTGTTTACAGAGTTGCAATCATACTTTTAGTATAATTTTTATTCTTTAATACTTAACATTCATGAATACTTTTCCATGTTGTTTAAAATTCTTACAAGCAGCATTTGTAAAGAGTGCATGTTCTCCATATTTAATTATTATTGTGCAGATATTTAATTTGTTTCTAAATTTTGCTATTACAAATAAAGCTGTAATAAACATCTTTATACTCTCTTTTTCACACTTCAGGTCATTTCTTAAAGTGTATTCTTAGATATAGTACTGATAAATAATAACCAGATTCCTTTCCAGAAAAGTTACACTTCTTACACTCCCTTCATTGAGCAGTCAGTGAGTGTGCATTGTTCACTACCGCCTTGCCAGCTTTATAGTGTAATAATTTTACAAGATTTTGGTAACAGGTGAAAAATGGTACCTTGGGTGTTTGGGTTTTGTTTTACTGTCACTTTCACTAAAGCCATCTTACAGAATTAAAATACTGAAATTAAAGTTACCAGAATAGGTTGTTGATTGTTTTTCATCATGAAGTTTGTGTCTCACATCCTTAGACAATAGTTCCAAAGTTACCACGCACACTATGTGTGTATATGATAAAAAGGAGAACTACATTAAGAAGCAAGTTTTAAAATTTTGGATCATGGCAACAATAAATTGACACTTTATCCCTAAAAAAGGAACAGAGTGATTTCTAAGTGACTGTAACTTGACCAACAAGTTGAAATATTTTCTTCAGTTGTTGGTGTATCTTTGTAATAGAGGGTTTTATGTCATCTAAGGAATTGAGGTAAATTATGTAAACTATATATATATGTATTATAATTGATTTGATTTGATTTTAAGCAATCTCTGCATCCCATGTGGGGCCCGAAATCACAGCCCCAAGATCAAGAGTTGCATGCTCCAGTGACTGAGCCAGCCAGGCGCCCCTTATGTATTTTAAAACTAGAGCTCCCTGCCCTTTTTCAGCAAAGAATTCATGCCATTTCATTTTCCAAGTGCATTAGATCTCAGTTTCTAGTTGTGTTTGTGTTTGTGTGTATAGATTGTGCCTTGCCAGTACATGCTGCAGACAATGAAGGACGAACAAGTTTTCTACATTCAATACTTGAAGTCCATGGCGTTTTCAGTGTACTGCCAGTGCCGGCGACCTCTGCCCACACAGATCCACATTAAGTCCCTCACGGGATTCGGGCCTGCTGCCAGCATCGAGATGACCCTCAAGAACCCAGAGGTAGGTGGTAGCACAGCAGAAATTGCCAAAAGAGTGCTTTTATACTAGGAAAGCAGGCCAGGAGAGTTGGCTGCTGGGGTGGTCTTTGGCCTTTGTTAAGATTGGGAGGTTTCTCTGATCCTTAATTTAAAATAGAGGAGGTACTTCTCTAAACTTGTATAATTTTTTGAGAAAAGAGGCAAGTAAACTCTCTCTGTTTTTGGATGTAGGACCTAAGGCAGCAATATACTCATCACTTTTACTTACTGATGTTGGACTTTCCTGTGTTTATTTTGTTTTTTTATTTTTTGAAGCTAATCTGTTATTAAATCACGGACTCTCTTCCTTCCCCAGCTCTCTTCTTTCCTGGTACGGCAGCCGTGCCTGTGTTTATTCTGCAGGAGCTCCTCATTTTCCGAAGCACATTTTTACAGGGGCTTGCTTTCTCTTCCCTTATCTCAGTGCTTCTGATCTATAAATGAATGCTTTTTCTCTCCATCTTCTTAAACCTACTTCCCACAAATAGGTACCTCTAGAGGAATTTTAAAACACCAAACAAAAGTTGTATATTTTATTTTACTCATCATTTTATCCTGAAGATAGATGAACAGAGCAGTGTTTAGAAGTTTCAAAGCTTTCAGAAATCAGTTCCCACAACTTTCATTGCATGAAAGTTTACCTGTTAGTAAAAGCCAGCAAACACTTCTTCACCATATAAAGGAACTTAAAAACACCAAAACCTGCTGATTTTAGTTGGTAATGTAAGTTTTCCTGAGAAACACAATGAAATGCTTATCTCTTGGATAAATAAAAACTTAGAAGTGGGAAAAAATGAGGCATGTGGTTAATACCACATTTGTTGTCACTTGATCCAGAAGAAATGGCTTAGCCCACAACCCACATTTATTCTGCAGTTATGTACAGTTTTTGTCTCTGGCAGTTCAGGTTGGTTTATTCTTTGGAGTTTTAATTTTTTCACTTTTGTGAACAGTTCATCTCTTTTCTCTGTTAGCTTTTTCTAGAATTAAAAAAAAAATTATTTCTACTTGTTTCTTCTTTTGTCTCCAGAAATTGAGTTATTGCCTTTCTTTATAAACGTAGACTTTTTAGTTCTTTACCTCTTGTGGTTATTCTGCGGTTCAGATGCAGTCATTCCTTATGCTTTGGTAAGAAGTTATCACAATTTCAAATTATAACTCATAGTGTTCTGCATTTTCATAGAGGGGAGCAAAGGCCGACTACCTGTATTAAGATGTCTTGAGGCATTACCTAAAAGTTTTAAAGTTTATAACATACTGGCAGAACACGGTCAATAGTTCCTGAGATAAATGGATGAATCTAGATGAAAATAAATGGCAAAAATAAGCCTTTTTTTCCCTTTTGCTTTGGAACAGGAAGAGAAAGAAATCATTTGACTTAAATCAAATGTTAGTATTTCCTGAGGTTTATAAATTTTTACATGTATATGGTAATGATTAGTTGCTAAATGCTGCTGCACCCCTCAGTCTGCAGCTAGAACAGGGCACTTTCATTCAGTAAATGCAGCCCAGTGTCTGCTGTGTGCCAGGCACTAGGGTAGGTGCTGAGGATGTGGTGGTGAGCACGACAGCCAGGCCTCTGCATTCGGGAATTCCGAATCTCTGCTGCGGCACAGTCTTATGCAAGCACATTTTACATAAGAAGGAATGGATTTTAGTACTTACCGTGCAAGTATTAGAAGAAATCCTGTTGGTGGAGTCTCTTTTGTTTTTCATAGAATATACGGTATCTGAAAAGCAGTTTGGGAATAGTATTTTACTTTGTGATTTATCACAGGCTGTCTATTGCATCTAAGATATTTGACCTTCAGCCTTTTACTTTTTGCTAAACTTTTCAGGCGGTCTCACCTGGACTCTTTTGTTTGAAAGCTTTGTTGAGGCATAATTCGCATGTTATAACATTCACCCTTTTAAAAATTGCATAGTTCAGTGGTTCTTAGTTTGTTCACAGAATTGTACAACTATCACTGCTGTCTCATTTTAGAACATTTTGCCAACCTGGAAGGAAACGCCATACCTATTAGCAGCCAATCATTTCCCCTCCCCCAGCCCTTGACAGCCACTAGTCTACTTTCTGTCTCTGTGGAGTTTCCTGTTTTGGACACTTCCTATAAATAGATCATACAATATGTAATCTTTTATGTCTGGCTTCTTTCATTTAGCATGTTTTCAAGGTCCATTCATGTCATAGCATGTATCGTATTTTATTTCTTTTTATGGTTAAATGATACTCCATCGGATGGGTATACCACATTTTGTTTACTCATTCTTTAGTGGATGCACATTTGGGTTTTTCCACTTTTTAGCTATTGTGAGTAATACTGCTTTGAACATTTGTGCACAAGAGTTTATGTTTAAAATGGTTTACGAACGAACTCTTGGTAAATACCTAGGAGTAGATTTTCCAGGTATAGGGAAAATGAATGGGTCGATGATAAGGTTAGCTTTGAAACTTTGAGCACATTATTGAATATCTCTAGCCCTGTGTTTTGTATCCCTAAAATGAAGGAATTGGATTAGACTCTTTCTCAGGTCTTTATTTATTTTAGCTTTAAAATTCTGTAATTTCGTCAGTGTATGCTACATGTACATATGTATGTATGAATATGTATTGTTTCAGGGATCAGCAACTATGTGGGCTCAATCTAGCCTGCTACAGCCTGTATTGGTATGACCTGGATAAGAATGATTATTACATTTTTAAAAAGAGAAGAATACTCAGAAGAAGAGAGACCCATAAAGTCTAAAATATTTACTGTCTGTCCTTTATGGAAGTGTGCTGACCGCTGCTGTAGGTTATTAAATATTGAAATGTGTGTAATAGCTGTAAAAAAAAAAATGGTGAAAACTAAACCTTGTCACAGTTTGTTTAAAATATTTGTCTTACTGGTAACACCTAATGCTTTGATTTCTTAAATCACACACACACACTAAAGTATAAATACATACTGAAAAGTACCCAATCATAAGTATACCACTTGATGGATTTTCACTAAACACATCATGTAACAAGCACAAGAAACAAAACCTAAGAAGCACCGAGAAACCTCTTTCATGTCCCTTCTACTCATTCTATCGGTAATCAGTGTTCTGACTTAACAGAAACATATCTTGCCTCTTTTTGACTTTCATGTAAATTGAGTCATATAATTGGTATTTTCTGTGTCTGGCTTCTTTTCTCCAGTGTCTAGATTCATCTGTTCTCTTGCAGGTAGTGGTAGTTTTACATGTCTTCGCTGTTTACTATTCCGATTGTATAACTATAACACAGTTTATCTTCCATTTTACTGGTGATGGGCATTTAGGTTATTTTTTAAATGGAGCTGTTAGGATTAAAACATTTTTTTAAATTTTTTATTGTTATGTTAATCACCATATATTACATCATTAGTTTTTGATGTAGAGTTCCATGATTCATTGTTTGTGCATAACACCCAGTGCTCCACGCAGAACGTGCCCTCTTTAATACTCATCACCAGGCTAACCCATACCCCCACCCCCCCTCCCCTCTAGAACCCTCAGTTTGTTTTTCAGAGTCCATCGTCTCTCATGGTTCGTCTCCCCCTCTGACTTACTCCCCTTCATTCTTCCCCCTCCTGCTATCTTCTTCTTTTTCTTTTTTCTTAACATATGCTGCATTATTTGTTTCAGAAGTACAGATCTGTGATTCAGCAGTCTTGCACAATTCACAGCGCTCACCATAGCACATACCCTCCCCAATGTCTATCCCCCAGCCACCCCATCCCTCCCACCCCCCCACCACTCCAGCAGCCCTCAGTTTGTTTCCTGAGATTAAGAATTCCTCATATCAGTGAGATCATATGATACATGTCTTTCTCTGATTGACTTATTTCACTCAGCATAACACCCTCCAGTTCCATCCACGTCATTGCAAATGGCAAGATCTCATTCCTTTTGATGGCTGCATAATATTCCATTGTGTATATATACCACCTCTTCTTTATCCATTCATCTGTCGATGGACATCTCGTCTCTTTCCACAGTTTGGCTATGTGGACATTGCTGCTAAAAACATTGGGGAGCACGTACCCTTTCGGATCCCTACATTTGTATCTATGGGGTAAATACCCAATAATGCAGTTGCTGGATCATATGGTAGCTCTATTTTCAACTGTTTGAGGAACCTCCATACTGTTTTGCAGAGTGGTTGCACCAGCTTGCATTCCCACCAACAGTGTAGGAGGGTTCCCCTTTCTCCACATCCCCGCCAACATCTGTTGTTTCCTGCCTTGTTAATTTTAGCCATTCTGACTGCTGTGAGGTGGTATCTCATCGAGGTTTTGATTTGGATTTCCCTGATGCCGAGTGATGTTGAGCACTTTTTCATGTGCCTGTTGGCCATTTGGATGTCTTCTTTGGAAAAATGTCTGTTCATGTCTTCTACCCATTTCTTGATTGGATTCTTTGTTCTTTGGGTGTTGAGTTTGATAAGTTCTTTATATATTTTGGATACTAGCCCTTTATCTGATATGTCATTTGCAAATATCTTCTCCCATTCTGTCGGTTGTCTTTTGGTTTTGTGGACTGTTTCTTTTGTTGGGCAAAAGCTTTTTATCTTGATGAAATCCCAATAGTTCATTTTTGCCCTTGCTTCCCTTGCCTTTGGCGATGTTTCTAGGAAGAAGTTGCTGAAGCTGAGGTCGAAGAGGTTGCTACCTGTGTTCTCCTTTAGGATTTTGATGGACTCCTGTCTCACGTTTAGGTCTTTCAACCATTTGGGGTCTATTTTTGTGTGTGGTGTGAGGAAATGGTCAAGTTTCATTCTTCTGCAGGTGGCTGTCCAATTTTCCCAGCACCATTTGTTGAAGAGACTGTCTTTTTGCCATTGGACATTCTTTCCTGCTTTGTCAAAGATAAGTTGACCATAGAGTTGAGGGTCCATTTCTGGGCTCTCGATTCTGTTCCATTGATCTATGGGTCTGTTTTTGTGCCAGTACCATACTGTCTCGATGATGACAGCTT